CAAAATAACGCGCGGTTCTTTTCGAACGCCAGAGAGAAAGAAACAAATCTCAGAAGGGAGAGAAAGAATTAGAAAGAGAGAAAGAGGGGGAAGAGATCTTCCGCTACGTCGCGAACGCGCTTAAAAATAAAATCTTACGTTGCTCTTCAAGTTCGTCCGCGCGAAATCGGCCAAGTTCTTCTTCTTCAACGAGGCGGAGACGTTCCAGTCGGTCTTCTGGTCAGCCCGTAGGTTTTTTACAAGAGTGAAAGCATGATGAAGTGTACGAGAGTCGACTTCGCGCTCGACGGAGCGTGAGAGAGTGCAGGAGAAACGGAGAAAGAAGGAGAGGGAAATATATTTTAGAGATTGACGTTGTCAAATGTTGCTGGGCACGATCGAAAAATGACGACCACCCACGGCGGCCACGTGTACTACGTGATTAAGGTGCCCAAGGACAGCACTGACGGCAACGAGAGGTAATCGCACTCGACAGCTCCTTTACATAAGCGTCCCAACCTCCTCAACAACCTCTCCCCTTCTTTGAGCCCTCCTCGTAGTTGCGGCTTCTTCATTGTTCGTATCTCGTTCGCTTCATCTTCCGTTAGGTCGTTGCATGCAAAATAACTCATCCTGAAAGCTTCACTTTTATGGAACGTTTTTTATAAAATAAGCATTTTTCTAAACAATCGAGTATTACATAACAGTTGAAGTAAAATCATTCTTTTTATATAAATATATGTTTCAGTTCTCGCGAGATGTTTGCGATTTCTCAAGTTGCAGTACATTTCTAGAATAGTAAAGAAAAACAAATTGGTAATTTTTTAGCTGCATGTTTTCTGCACCAAGAATTACCTGAAGATTACTGCAATGCAAAAACGTTTCTCGTGCAACGACCCGATACTTCTCATCTCTTATCTCTTCTCGTGGTTCATTGACTCGTGCCGCTTTTCCTTCCTCATTCCCTTTCATGCTTTTCTCTACTCTCTTTTCCCATCTTCTTGCCTTCTTTTCACATTCTGCTTTCTTTTCATCGCGAAAATAGTCAAGCGAGTTCGATCGCCGGGCGGCCGTTCTCGAGCTATGCGCCGCGTCGGCCTCAAAGAGCAAAGAACGACGTTTCCTTCTCGAGGGTCTTCAACCCCTGGCTGACTATATAGACCTAGACGAGGTCTATACATCAACCGGAGATCCGCCGGCAAATCATGCCGGCCACGTTTAGCCTCGCGAAAAATACAGGCTGTGATTAAAAGTGAAACAGCGTGATATACCTTTAATACATCGTGGCAAATTTAACTAGTCAGTCTTCATAAATTAAATATCAATATAAATTATTATAAATTAATTCTAATTTATATTTTTAATATTGATACAAAATTTTAAAATGTTAGGCTTGAAATTTTAAAACAATATTTAAAAAATTGAAAAAATAATATGAATTAAATTGCCAGATTGTTATAAATCAAATTAGTTGTATAATGACATTCATCGCACAGGATAAATGCAAATTTTCCACTATCCATCGCCTTAACTAGATTTTTTTGGTTGTTTAAATTATAATAAATATCAAAGAGTAGTTGTTAAATGAAATATTTTAAGTATTAATTGGACATTAACTAATCTGGCTTGCAATTCTCTTTTAAAGGCTTTCCATATTTATATTTGGATATTTTTCCTTCTTTTTTTCCTTTTTTTTTAAGTAGAATAATTTTACCGAAATAGAAAGATTATCGGTTACAAGCAGACAGAAACAATAGCAGACAATACAAAAAGTTGAAAGAACCTTAATCGTGTCTCGAATCGTTTTTAGCGAAGTTATCTCGAATTGATCGAATAATCTCATGAGAACTCGTTGAAGAAAAATGGAAGTTGCATTGACTACGATCTGTCGTCTCGTCGGAAATCGAATCCCAATCGGACCCTATTTCCTCTACCCAACTAGATGGTATTTGAAGTCCGGCGCTTATGCTATATAGTCATTTCATTGCAAGGAACATGTATAATGGATCGATTACAGGAAATGAGCTGTCTAATGTTAAGGAAGGTCGGTCCGATAATGCAATTTTGCGCATGTAAGCCCACTGCGAATTTCTCCACGGTGGCAATTAAAGATCAAATTGACATGTATTTGCAGATTGCAATTTAGTTCAGTTAATATAATTTTATTAAAATTAGGTGAAGAACGATAAATTTTTATGTCATAAATTTTTGCGAACAAAAAGAATGCGTGGTGAAAATAAGGAATTCGAAAATTCTCACAAACAGTACTTGAATCTGATTGAAGCTGAATCGATATCTAATCACAAATTATAGGTGTAATTTATTTGATCCCATCTCTGGGCGGTAATATGCGCTACCGCCTACTTTTTGTCGATGTAAATGCCACGATAATACTACGCCAGGCGAGGAGTAAGCGCTTAAATCGCATAACTTTTCCAACACATCGCGTGTCACTGCCCAATTCTCGCTACTAATATAGCGGCCGCGCGAATGGCGCAGCTCGCGAGTTTCAGAGCGCGGCCCTGAAAACGCTCGATGTTCAATCTCCCGGCCGGTACGACCAGGAAGCACCGTGCAAATCGGCCGGAAGTACGCGTGCACACGTAAGCAAGCGGAGTAACAGTGCGCCACGGCGCAATTAAGCGCACCACAATGCTGAAGCTAATGTCACGGTCGTCGGGGCGGGAGCGGCGGTCGCCAATTGAGCATAATTTACTCTGACTTGACATTCGCCGCGCCTGCGACTAATTGGGATGCTGTTGGCTGCATCTAGATAGGGATGACTAATAATAATTTTTACAATAATTATTGAAAAGACGTTCTCGTGACGATGAATCAATGATAATCAATGTACAAATAATTTATCTGTAATAAGCAACAGCAATCAGCATGGCTCGATATTCTCATATAATTGATAATTTATTATTATACAGGAACCAATTTTTTTATTTGTTTAAAAAAAACTTTGAGCATGAATATTGAATAAAATTATGGTTTCTGAATCTAAAAAGGAAAAGAATACAGGCTCTTTTTCTATGTATAAAATATATAGTAGATTTAATATATTTTTTTTGTTCTAAAATTTATACGTTTTAATATTGAATGAGAAGTGATTATATATAAATAAAATATTCAGTGTTGATATCCAACAAGTATACTCTTATCATAAAATACGAATAAGTATCGTAGAGATATCTCTATTTACTATCGTGTGTTCCACATATAGAAGTTTCATTTAAATCGCGAGTTTTTATTTCCACACTTTTCAAAGTAATTGCATAATTATTCGCCAAGCACAAAGTCGCATTCTCGCCGTTGCGACTTTTCTTATCTGCGGCATATCTTGAGAACCGCTGCGACAAGCTCGCGCTAACGCGAGGCATGCGTGTGCCTGTGATTAGCACTCTGTGAATTGGAATTTAATTAGAGAGCTGAGAGCACGAAAGGAAGTGTATCCTTCCTCCATGTCTATTCACTTCAGGCAGACGATTATTGATAGTACGCGATTAGATCGAAGTGCGCGTAACAATTGTGTATTTGAAAAGCAAAAAGCCAAGTCTCCACAAAAATGTCTTCTTTCAAAAAATCTTTTTTAATCAAAAATGTAATTTGTTAAATAAGCATATTTTGCGCATTACAAGATAAAAGACCTGCATTTTTCAAGCGACAAGAAAAAAATAAATATTAAAAAGAGAAATTATCACATCGCATCGTAAATTTTGTCGTTAAGTTTAATGCATTCACATTTCCGCGTTCTGCAGCCAGCGACTCGTTAAATTTATTGTTTTTAATAAGCTGGGTAATATTAAATTCCCGTGAGCTAAATATAAATATTTTTTTTTTTTATTTACGAATGAATAAATAGTCTATAATTTTCACATAAAGCTCTTCAATATTTCATAAGCAATATACACATACATTTCATGATAAGAGCATATTTATTAGACATAGGCATCTGCAGGACACGAAGCACAGAAGATCCCTTTTTGCCGTATGTTGCTACGTCAATTTTTTGTCAAGTTATAACGTTTCGAAAATCTGTCGTGCACGAAATGTTATGCATGAACGGGACGCACGTGAAGGGTATTTAATTTTACGCTACACTAACGGTATTATGACCAGCTGATCAGCTGATCAGCTGATCAGCTGCAGTGTAGGTCAAGCGAAAGTATACTCTCACTTTCGTCTGATTACCGTCACTTTCGTCAGACGTCGCTTTAGATCGGGATCGCTCGGGATCGCCCGTGATGCAAGCGACACAGGTCGATAGTTGTCAATACTTATTTTCTCGCTGAAAAATTGTGTAGAAAAAATTTCGCTTTAAAAACTGGGAATTTTCAGTGTTTCGAACAAGTCTAGCATCGTTTGTCTCGGATAATCGGAAATCTCTGATCTGTGAGGTAAAATAAAATTAACCCTTTCAGCACAACAGCGATAAAAACGTAAAACAATTGCTAAATCTATAAATGAATTTGTAGGTCAGGACCACATATCTGCACAGTAATTATTATGATTTCTTATTGCAGTTTCTAAATTACTTAATTTTTTTATAGGAAGAAAATACTTTATTCAAGTTACAGAATTTGTCTTTTTAATTGTCACATAATGCAAGCAAGTTAATAACGTAATCTAGGTTTTGCATTCTATTCTCACAGATTCATACTTTACATTATGCTAACATTATAAAGATCGTCTGAGCGTATATATAAAAAACTCACGTCTTAAATAGATTTATTCAAATAAATATATAGTTAAAAATAAATTACATAATTAATATAATGATTTATTGAACCATTGATAAAATTTTGTATTAGTACATGATTTATTTAATTGATTTTTGAAGTGTTGAAACAAAAATGTTGATCTGCACTGACAATACTTTTCCTAAGACTGTTTCGTCTCAATTTTAAATGAAGCAAATGTTACTCTTACATTTCACACATTTTAATTGCGAATTACTTTGTACAATATTTTCCCACGTGATAAAGAGAACTAAACATTTAATATATTTTTTATTTTAGCACGGACAGCGGCTGGGACAATCCATTCAGGCCGGACGGTGATCTTTCCCGAGAAGCCGACGAGATCGTCGAACTGATAAAGGGTGGAAAACCGATCACACCGACGCCGGGTCAGAATGCGCCGGCGTTGCCGGGATGCGATGGCAAAGGCGAGCACGAATCCTCGAGTACCAGTCCGCTTCTCAAATCCGCGAACTGTCACTCGTCGCCGAGGCCTGGCCAAGAAAATGGCACTGCTCACGGTGGAACTCCTGCAAAAGGCAATCAGCCTGTCAATGAAAAGGTGAGAATAAAATCATGCGTCGATAAAGCTTGAATAATTCCTAATTTTAATATTAATAAACTCAAAGGTTTAATATAAAATTTATAGATTTACTAAATAAAATTTTAATATTGTTAATATTCAAAGATTTTAAACAAGAAAGAAGTAATTAATTGCTTGACGGCAATTTGTAAAGATAAAAATATATTTATCGATGTTTTAGGTTGGCGCAGCGAGGACCGCCACAGTGGAGGTTGCGAGGATGACGGCACAGGGCCCGGGCGATGCATCACAGGTTGAACACGTCACCCTGAAGAAGAAGCCTAAGTGCAAGTGCTGCGTGCTGCAGTAATGACCGCGCCACGGAGGCGGCGGAGACGCGCACGCGAGAGACCCTCCTCCACTGTCAGGAGCGTGACTTCGGGAACTCTTCGGGTCTGCAGAAGTCGCGACTAGGCAGCTCGAAGTGTCGGGGAACGTGAGATAAAACGACGAGAACGTGTCGGCGAAAAAGCAGCTTGAAGAGAAGAGTCTCGTAAGGGACGAACGTTCCGGGCACGAAAACAGCGTCAGCGTTCTTTTTGGGACCTGAAGAAACAATCCAGAAGATGACTTCTTGGAGAGGGAAAAAGAGTTTTGTCTTTGAAATGATATAATATTGACGACGAAATATAAAAGGAAGTATTACAGGTTAAGTATATCGATGGATATTGCAGCTGAAAATAAATTAATATCCATTGATGCACTTCATTTGTATTGACTCATTTTCAGCTGTATATACTCTAAAAAGAAGTATATTTAGAATGAAGAGACTGCGAATCTAGAAAAATACTATCAAGTTGCGAAGAACTTGAAGGATAAAAAAAGATAGTAAATACAAATCGGATGAGATATTAAAGAAATTTTGTGTTTTCTAATCACGGAGTTTCAAGAAAGGAAAATGAGTAGAAATTCATTGAAGGAAATGAAAGGTATCGATACTAGATTGTTCGGAATTTAGAATAAGGACCAGAAGTAAATTCTGAGAAGCTGTTAATTCTTCCTGAGGAAGTTGCTGTCCTAAGATGTCCTGGAAAGTAGAAGCAAACTCTTGCCGAGGAAGATTCAACTCTTACCAGAATACCGGCTTCCACGCATAGGAAAGAATTTCAGGATCCACATTGAAGACGAGACGAAGAACGTCGGTGCGCGAACAAACGTTAAAACCGCTTCTCGAGACAGTGACATTGAAAGACCAGAGTTGGAAAAGAAACGCGAGGAAAAAGAAAGATAAGAGAAATCTATATATATTATACATACAAAACTATATTGTAGATACAGAATGGTAGCTGTATAGCTTATATGCTTTTACTATCGTGGTTAATTATCGTCAGGATTATCGTGATTTCGAGAATGCATCGTGCGCGTAGAGCGAGAAAGGGAAAGAAAGAGTATCATGAGAGTGCATGAGAGAAAGCGCGAGTGTGCGAGAGAGAACGGGAGGGATGACGATGAATGAAATTGACTATAAGGGGGGCGACACAAGGCATGTAAAGTTCCGCGGGACGTCATTCGTCCGTTAGATCTCGGTGCGAGCAGACATACCGCCGTTTCTGGGGAATCTAACTCAGCGGCTTTGATCACTCTTTCTTTAATGCACTGTGAGGGTATTCGACGCGTTAAACATCACTGTATATAGGATGTATTAGACCGCACTTTGTTACGTCTACATATTCTCCAATTTGAAGTCGATTTATACAAACTTCACTTGCGAATAGCCTTTCAGTTTTAAAGGCTTATAATTAAAATTGTATTATTTGTGGCCGAAAGAAGGCTTTTGATACATTCTGTATACAGTAGTAAAGCGTTTATTTAATTGGATTCATTGAAGGGTTCTATAGATAAAATTTTTCGTTTCTTTTCTTCCTCCCTTAATTTTATACACGATTCCGTTGTTTCGAAAAGTTCTTCTTTAGCCACGAGTTTTTGCCAGCAAATAATGATGTCTAATTCGTGACTATAAGTTTTACAATATATTAATTTTTTATTTTGTAAATAATGCAATGGCTTTGTTTATATATATTCCTGCCGCTTTCTAAAATCTTTAATATTAGTCATCAGTTCCTAGCGATAAAGCAGTTAATAGTGTTTCTAATTTTATCTATGGAACTCTAGAAAGAGGGTTATTTTCGTGCGAATACAAATAGCGCTTAACATAAGCGTTAAACGGCGCTGTTCCCATAAATTTCTGAGAACCTTAACATGTCTCTTTCAGGACATCGTTGCATCAGCTGTTTGATTGCCTTAGAATCGGTAAGCTCTCTGGTTTGTCCGCCAGAATATGAAATTAACATCATCTGTTTGTTTGTTTGTTTTTTTTTTGTTTTTTTTTTATTTTTTTTTTTATAATAATTGATACATGTGATTTTTTTATTATAACAAATACAAATATTGAATTTTTTAATTTCAGTTTTACGTTTTTAGCGACGAATTCAAGAGAAAACGAATTAATTCTCTTGCGATCAATCATGGTGAATAGAGCTGCGCCTTTTTGAACACGCCGAGGATTCACTCTTGAATTTTCGTCGTGTTCAACCGAATACCTAAGTGCATTTTGTTAATTATTGTCATGGGCGCCGCTAGAATTTTTCGTAGGGGCTTACATAAGCAGGATCATTGTTAATTATCTTTTTAAATATTTTTGTTGGGATTATTTTACATATGCCAAGGTATGTATTGAATTGAACATTGAATTGTACATTGAATTGAAAAAAATTTATGAAAGTTCTTCTTTCATCTCTTTATTTATATTATTTAACAACAAAATATTTTACTAAATTCTAATTAATTAGTGTCTTTTAATTAAACGTTTCGCATTTTTCTTAGAAAGTCAGATGGGTGCAAGTTGATCCTCTGCGCTTTTCTCACGACGCTCATGATTTTTTTGTACCTGCGTTAATGAATTCCGCAGCAGATCCGAGCGAGCTAGGACGAATTGGCTTTAAAATTTGTAATTATGATAAACTATAAAACTCTCAATTTAAATTTACAGTAGGTATAATCCAGCAATTGACTCTAAACTGCCACAGAACTTGTCATCTGATCAGATCAAGACACTTTGGTGTCGCCTAGCTCGTTATGATCGGTAGCAAAGCGGAAGTGCGTAAGGTGCTGGGGGGAAAGAAAATCGGATCGTTCGGACGATGGCGAAGATACTATTTTCCTAATTAACGAGCTGCTCGGTGGAGGGGGAAGTCTCAGTTCCTCCTCGTTTCCGCAGTGGCAATTTTTAATGGACGAAAGCAATTTATTGTGCGAACTAGTCGAAGGTATCGGGAGGTGTTAAACTCTTCGTGGCGGCGATTAAAGTGTCTCTTGATTATAATTATTGTCTATTATAATTATCTCGAATCATAAATCCTGATTGTATACGAGTATCAACGTACAATTTCAAGAGAGGGAGCATTGCATCGTTGCATTCAAAGTACAATGCTAAATCTGCTCGAAAATTTTTTTATCTCAAATTGCTTGTATAAAAAAAAATACGCTCTTTTATAAACGATATTAATAATTTAAATTAAACCGGCTTTTTAATTATTTAAACTCGATAATAGCATAGAAAATAGAGGAGAACGTATGCAACAGTATCTTTATTTTTTTTATTCCTTTATCTGCTCTGACAATGTGCCGCTCTCACAGCTTGTATTAATCCTCGAAGGGATCCGGAGATATACGATATTTCGCGTGCCGCGAAGAGCAGTTTGCGCAGCGCAGTGCAAACGAGAGGGATCTGTAACGCGCGCATACTTACACACGAGAACCTCTTAACGTCTGTTCCCACGCAAAATGTTGACTCTGCTGAGCTTACAGATATTAAACAAATATTAAATGTCTTGTTAAAAAAAAATTATGACGTATGAGAAACATATCATACGAGGTCTAGGAGAATGGATCCACACAATTATTGTTACAACATTATCATTATAAATACTCGTACAATTAAAATTATTAAATACAAAATTCCATCGGAACAATAGGAGAAATCTCTTACACTTGAGAATTTTATTGCATTAATTCGCGACTATTTAATTATTTAAGCTTATTTTCTTTATTACACACCGACACAAATATTTCAAAACTGATTACATCAGATTTATTTTCTTCTACGATTACAGTAATGCGTAAATACGTTAAAGTTGATGAATCACCTTCAGATCTGTTCTCGTAGGCCGACCATTTCCAATGAAAACCGCCCACTTCTTCGTCCTCTCGGCATTCGAGAAATCCAAGCTTCCTTCCCAGACATAATATCGGAATAATAAATTACAAAGTCGAGATGTAAAATTTAAATTCGAGGAAAGGCGTGCCGTTAACAAATTGCTATAACATTCATTAATGATTCGCAGGATGCCAATCGATGTATCTTGGATTGCGCAAGAAGAATTATTTATCGTGCGTGTGAGATGGCTGATCAATTCAATCAAAATACCTCTTGGCCTCATCCATCAAAGTTGCAACGACTTAATAATAATTAACGGCCGTTCTCGCCTGTAAATACCACACGTTGTTGAAATGCTTTCCGCAGGTGAGAGAATCTTAACATTTCTAGAGATTCCGTATGAAGAAAAAATCTCGGATTAGAATGAAAAATTCAATTTTTGTAAAATGTTTTTGCGAAGTAACGTTGATATGATATAAGTCGTTTACGAGATTTATGTCACTATGAAACAACTATTAATTATGATTATTATGTCATGCACACGCGTAACGATAATTAAATTTATAAATTATATAATCTCGAGTTAGATTGCGTCACGAAAAAATCAAATCGATTAAGATACAAAGTGCGGGTACATAATTTCCCGCTGTCTTCCTTCGTGCCGGCGCGTTCGTTATGAATGTGTACGGATCGCAACCTGCGATCCTTTCGCCGACGAAGAGGCGACTGCCAAGTGACGAAAGCTTTAATCCAGCCGACGGAATTACATTAATCAATATCGCAAACAAGAGGTAGCGATGCGTTTATACGAGATCCAGGTTTGTCCCAGATTTGCAGCGGGATGCACTTTGCCACGGACATTAACCGGCTCGATAGTTGGCGCCTCGCCAGTGATTGATTTGCTGGTGCAACGACCTCCTCAGGTATCTTATTACACGGTCTTTCCGTGATGTAACTTCATTTAGGATAAATGACAGCCGTTCAATGTTTTTCCTGTTATTTATGCCTCCCAATTTATCGATTTTTTATATTATTATTGTCTGGCAATATTCAATTCATATATTCAATTCATGATTGCGGTATTAATTTGATATTTTCTAAATAATTAAATTTTAATTTAATTATTGCCATCACAATACTTTTGTGCAATCACTTATAATTTCGTATACAATTACTTATCAATTTTATCAGTTTTCTATATGCATTTTTGTTTAATACGATGCTTTTGCTAATTATTGTTAACTGAACGAGATTTTTCGCATCATTATTGGTTTATAGGGAGTTGGCTGTCTATTTAGGATCGATACAAGAAAGTATGTCAGCCATAATCACAATAATCTCGCGATACTCGCGTTGCACTCGTGCTTCAGTGCGCGTCGTTGCCCGTTTCATTCACGAGCCCCTCGCTCATCTTCATGATGCACTCGAGCATCGTAGCGATAGTTAAAAATAACATCCAGCGAACGCAAGCACTTATCAGACCATAAGAAGGGCTCAGAGCCATAGTAATCTGCCCCGCAATCTTGGAAGAAGCCATTTTATTATTCAATTTACCTAATTTTTTAAAACCATTGTTTATATAACTCCGAATATTTTGTCAAATAAATTGAATAATAATAATTAATATCGTTACAATTTTACAAAATTTTTTACGTGAAAAAATCATAACTTTTCGAAAGAGAAAAAGGAAACTACGTAATGATATTTTGCAGCATCGGCAAATGCATTGATCATAATTCGATTAATCCATATTACATAACGTGGAGAATAGAACCCAACGATACCAAAGCTTGAACTTTCACTATATTAAAGATTTCATAAAGTGATACGATCCTAAGGATCTATTGTTGCGAATTATCTAATGTTAAATTTTTAAATATCAGAGTTACATCATGCAATAACAGAAATTATATTAAAATATATAATATAATCAAGATTCACACTCTGTGTGTGTATTTAACATTTTTAATTAATATAAGTTATTTATTGTATTCTTTATAATATAGTTAAATTTAACTGTTTCAATATATTGATATAATTTATTATATGCATATATATAGAAGTTATAATGTGGGCTTGGTTCTTTGATTCTCACAAAGTATTAAAAATATTGCTTTCGCGTAGGAGAAAAAACGGATAAAATTATGAAATCATTAATATTTAATAAATCGATGATTGAATGTGAAATGGTCATTTGAAGATGCTTACAAGTTCTTGCAAAATATAAGCCGTGGTAACTTGATTAGCCTTAGGCGCATTACGTTCTAAAAATAAAAGAAAATAAATATATTTCGTGTGCATCGACGATTGACGCTTAGAAGAATTTTCATCTTAACTTTTATAAGTAAAAAATACAAATTATAATTTACCCTATAAATAGACATTCTTATTTCTATTATATTTCACGAAAGAGAATAAAAGATAAATTACGGTTCACTGCGAGAAGTTATTGTTTGTCTCGAATAATCTTTTGATTTAATGAATAATGAAAGACAAATTGAGATAAATTGATATTCGTCGTGTAAACCGATGTCTCTGGACAACTCGTAAAATTTTTTCGACAAAGTTGTTGAGGGATAAATCAGGATGATGTGCGCGTAATCGCGATTTACTGCAGCATGCTCATCTCTGTCGCAGCAAATTCGCGATAGATGATACTTTATTTATCTGCCCGCTGTTGCGTGTACCGGACTATAATTTCGCGCGTACGTCGTGCTCGCGTTGCGCAAGAAAATTTTTGTACATCTCCTCGAGAGTCTTCTCAACGAGAGTGGAGGTGTATCGAACCTTTTGCCAAAGTTATGCAACTCCAAGAGTGGTTACGTCGCGTCTCGCTCTTCGTTACATTACATTGAACAATCTGAAATTACATCCTTCTAATTGCAACATTCTAGTCCCAAAAGTCGCGTCTTTCGGTCAAGCTTAACTGACCAAGGTTTCGTCATTTGTTTGCACCCTTATTTGCTTAATCCTCGAATTCTTCAGATGCAATACTATGACTTATTCGTACCTCAATCGATATTTATTAAAAAACGATTTAATTTATGATGTATGCACGAAAAGATTATTCACGCTATTGAAGTTGAAATTTCTTCAAAATATAAGCCGTAACTTGATTAGCCTTAAGCATATTACGTTCCGATAAAAATAAAAAAAAATAAATAAATATATTTGGTGTGCTTCGACGATTGATGCTGAGAAGAAACGTCTTCTAAGGATTAGCTTTCTGTCGAAGCCGACGCGTGAAAAAATGCGAAAGAAGAATTCAGAAGATTAAGATAATCTTTGCCGAGAGCGTTTATTTCACATTGGCGCGAGCAGAGCCTTTTCTTTCCGATTTAATCCAATTATTATCGGGATCGATCGAAACGACCGCTACAGTTGTTGGATCGCGGAATGCGATGGGTTCGGCAAGCGCGGTAGTGCCGGCGACAGAAATATAAAATGTCAATGCTGCAGAAACGACGTATCCTATTAAAAGCGAGTGCATCCTATTAAAGGTTCAGAGATCGCATTGTTCGTTCGTGTGCCCTTAAACGAGCCACATCGCGGGGGTCATCGTGACGACGGTGGCCTTTAAATCGGCGACGATAAATCCCACGTGTCGTCTCGTAAATGCACGTGCGCTCGTATATACGCCGGACTCTCCGCTTACGCATTTGTTCTCGTAACGTCACTTTATTCCGCGCCGTGAATAAAATTTGAAACCCCACGATGCATCGTTTTCTCTCGCAATAAGCTAACTCATTTAATTCTTTACAGATGCCCCGGAGAAAAATTCTTTGACAAATTAATAACGAAACGATTAATTTTTGAAATGGCAATTTTTGCGCTTTCCACGAACAAATCTATAATCGATAATCACATTAAAATTAATGAGACAAAATTAGTAAAAAAGTCAAATGAGAACCAAATGCAATTTGTAAAAATCAATTTTATATTCCTTTGATTAAAATTAATCTGCTCAATATTTTGTGTTCTATTGGCTAGATGATTATATTAGAAGTTTAAAAGTTAATTTTGTAAGCTACATAATTCAATATAGAACTTTGTAGCCATAAATCTATTTTTATGCATCGCGCAGAGATATTCTCTTATTATGTGTACTTCGAAATCGATTTCTCCATAAAAGTGTCGCGACAGATATCAGATTACCAATAAGTTGTACGATTTTCGCAATTGTGCGAAGTGATAATTGTGCAAGCTTGCATCTGCATTTTCACGCAAATGAAGAGACAATAAAGAAGCTTAATGCGATAATTATAAGCCTTCTTTTCCTTCAGAAAAAAAATAGATAGCCTGAAATGTCATTTATCACCGCCATACGCGCGAGATCGCTAAAGGACACACCGCGTCATCAATAAATCAATCATCACTTCCTGGATGATCTTTAAGTTACTGTATCGCCGATTTTCAGAATAATATTCCCGAGCTAGTTGACGCACACAAACACAAACACACACACAAGTACACAAGATGCACGAAATAAACGATCGGCAACGATCGTTCATGTCGCGAGTCGCGAACAGACGGTAGTCACTTGCGCGAATCTCCTTCTTGAGACGGCGATCAGAGGGGGAGGAACGGTCGTCATTCACCGGGTATATAAGGACGAGAGCCTGCAGGAGCACGGATTCGCCGACAGGAACCGGTGTATAGTCCCGGTGTGACACAGGGTGATGCAGTGCAAAGTGTCCTCTTCGCGTCGTCTTCGTCGTTATCGTCATCATAACTGACAACCACGATGGGTCATCGCGGGATCATCCACTCACTGGTATGTCCTGCAGAGAGATATTTCAACATTTGCGTAACACGCGTAAAGAAAATCCTCATTAAACGAGGAATTTACATATTGATTATTTTCATTATTTATTTATTTTAACATTTAGTTTATTAAATTAAATAAATTTCAAAGATCCGCATTTCTAACTATTCTTAGAAAAGTATTTTTTAATTATTGCAAGTTTAATTTAAAAAAATTGTTTTAATTACATGAATTTAATTATTTTCATTATTATCCTAATTTTGCATATTATGATTAATCGTTATATTAATTGTTATATTAATCGTTTAAATTTGGGGGTAAATTTTGTATTCACATTAAAGTTACAATAAGTTTACACACAACACTGTATTTAGCGAGGAAAGTAAGAGAATGCGTCGTTGCAATGTGTGTCATCGTAAATTACTCTTCGCCGAAGTTCTCCATATTGGAGAACGCGGGAACCGCGTTTAGCGGATCCTTGTGGATGCCGCGAGCATTGGTGAGTGCGTCGCTGATTGCGCGAACAACGTAATCACTTGTAAATTTTACAATTGCGTTGCATCGTGCGACGGGTTTGCATTTTAGATGAATTCGCAGCCTCGTTAACGAAATCGTTACATCGCATATGCAACGCGGCTGCTATATATTAAATGAAATAAAAATCCTGATCAATCGATATTTTCAAAGTCACACACGAGCGATACGAGAACTTTGCGTACAGGAAGTTCTATTTTGCCTCCAAAGTGTTAACGCAGCTTTGTCAGTCCTTTTTCAGCAGAAATTAACAGCGCGTGTCGCTTGAATCTCCGCGTTAATTATTCTTTGTACATATTTGCTAAATGTACCAAATGTGTTAAGTTACATTAATATCGCAGGTATTTCTACGAATCTTCAATGATGCAACAAATGGATTCCCTCGTCGCAATTCAACCTTTCCACTCGCTTTTCCTTTCTTTTCCTTTCATGCTTACACTTCCATGCTCAAAGCCGATTAATAACAGCAGTTGGATTAACAACGTAAAGTATGCAATCGTTTTAGGAACCAGTTCTATCTCCGCGAGATGAAAGATACCGCCGCTAAACATCGACTGTCTTCTATAATATACCGCGTGGAATCAGGGGTTGAAAGTTCATCTTCCTTGAAGCGGCGCGTTTCACGGAATTCTCGCCGCGCCTTTCCGAGGGCTCGCGTTTTTATAAGTTCAGGCCGGTTATTGGGCCCCGAAGCGTTCAAAACTCGAGCCCGATCGGCCAGTCGGTCATCAGTTAAAATAGAAAGTGTCCTTTTCCGAAGGATCCACCTCCACGCATAATCCACCACCACATGTGATAATCGCGCGGCGATTGCCGACGCGATTATCCAACGCGACGCGACGCATCGCGCCGTACCGCACCGGTCGCGGGGTCATCCTTGGCAATCTCCGATCGTGTGCAGATAAATGGATGTAGTTCGTTAATCTTCAAGTGGTCTTAGAGAGAGAAAACAATATTACTGGATTGAATCATAAATAACTTGTACACAAATGACAAATGTTTATTTCCAAGGGCTCTAAATGATCGAAAGATTATTTAATTTGCGAAAAAAATAAGTATTTATTTGTCGTATGAGAAGAAAATTTTATTACATTTTCCGACTTTTTTTTTTTTAGTTAGAATTATACAATTTTTTTCGATTATATCATAAGTTGCAAGATACTCTTTACAATAGCATTTGTAAAATACTAATTAAAGATTGATACAATTAAGGATCACGCTCTATGTAAAATGTAATTCCTACAGATTTGGTGTTTGCTGTCATTTCCGGTGTGTTTTACTGCATTACTGTCTCCGGATCAGAAGGCACCGCAATTCGCGCGAGGCTCCGGTGGCCTGATTCTAAATCCTCCCTTCGAGAGCGATCAAAGGGCGAGCCCACCAGCCGCCACGAATGTCATCAACGATGACGGCGTACAAAGACAAGAGACCTCTTCTTTTAAAATCGTGGATGGTGAATTGATCCGAGTGGTGGAAGGATCCTACTCCTATAAGAGTCCCGAAGGAATTCCCGTTTCCGTAAAGTAAGTATACATCTTGTATATTTTGTCGTGACAAGAATTTTACTAATTTAAAGTTCTTTCTTCTAGAATTTATTGACTTTTATAAATGCGTGTTTTCAGAATAATTAATTTTCCTTTCAGAATAATAAATTTCTTTTACGTTTTATTGTAAACAACAATGTACATCTAGCTTTTCTTTAGTTTGCTATACTTTAATCTTAAAAAATTAAAATTTGAATACAAAAATCCTTCAAAAGTAATTTTAACATAAATCAAACAATTCTTTTTAATTTTTGGTTGTCAAATAAGATCGCTGATTTTTAATTTAAAAAATCTTGGTCTTTATCTTACTTAGATTTTATCTTAATTAGATTTGTGTTCAACGAGACAAAAAAATTAATTTTATTTTACAAAAAAAGTTAATTTACACAATTTCAAATCTTAATTAAAATGTTCTATCATTTAAAAAAAGAAGAAAAAAACAAACATAACGTATTTTTTAGTTATGTCGCGGATGAGAATGGATATCGGGCCGGATTTAGATTGGGCCGCGCCGCACTCGAAGGACCGGGGCCTATTGTGAGACCTTCAGGACCTCTGAGACCTTTAGAATCTCCAGGACCTCCAGGACCTCCAGGACCTCCAGGACCAGGAGGCACAACATATTTACCACCAAAGACCACTGCCGACCGGAGCTATTTACCACCGCATTAATTGATCTTAAAGACTCGTCTAAATACATTATCGCCAAACGTTATATAGGCTATTCGGTAACAGGAGGCTGCATTTTTTTTAGTAATATTCCTTATCAAAAACTTTTTTAGTTCAAATTACATTTTTAAGCTCATTTTAGACAGCGCACCTTGCAAATAAAATTCGAGATAAAATTTTATTTATAATTTTATGTGGCATGTAATACAGAAATATTTTTTTATTATATAAAATTGTAAGTTGATTTCTATCTCGAGTTCATCACAAGTTATATATCGTCTAAAATGTTTTAACTAGGATATCATATTGCATTTAAAAGCGAAATAAAATAATAGAATTTTATTTTTTTATTGATTCTAACTAGATTTTATGTAACAAATTTTTTTATAGTATAATTACCAAGATATCAAAAACTGCAAGAAATATAACAGCAAACTAAATTTTCGTGAAAAAATTATTTCGGTTTTTACGAACAATATTATTTAAATATTTATCGAGTGCACTTGACAGCAGATATCTGACATTATGTATATTTACGATCACACAAAGTGATGTCGTGCATTTTCAATGTCATAGTAATTTATACTGCGACATTTAATACCGTAATAATAAATGAAATGATACATGGGCTCGCCTTTCCACCGTACATTTAGCGCTAAATGCACTTCTACATATTACGCTGCAATTTATTGCCTTTCATAAAAGAATGAAACTAGTTGTACATATAACAATTAAACAGGCACATTTAATGCAAAATAGCGACGACACTATAATGTCATATAAAAATAAATTTTATTATTAATTAGATTATTTTATATTATTCTAAATTGGTAATTTGTATATTTTTATATATAATATATTTTGTAAGTCCATGCACATATATGACATTGAGTAAAATTGAGTAATTGTTAATATAATACAAACTGCGGAAGGAATTCTCCATAGATCAAAAACGTTGATCGATAATTTACATGATTTGTCCAAACCACTCCTTAATATTAGCGGATAATAATTCAATTTAACACGATAATTTCCCAACAATTACTTTCATCTCTCTCTCTCTCTCTCTCTCTATTTTCTTTTCAGCATTTATATGTACAAGACTTTATAAATCTTACATCTTCAGCATTTTAATTCTACTATGCGTCTCTTCGCACAATTTGAGTGACATGCAGATGTAGACGCAAATCTACAAATTAAATATATTTTTCCAGTAAATCACACACGAGTCATTTTGTAATGTTTGCTATTGCACTAACATGACGAAATCATATTAAGCATGACGTTAATCACGAGCCATGATATGTGGTGAATCCGAAAGGACTCAGCAGCAAAGGAATGTGATAATGTTTGCGGGCGTTCTGCACGTCAAATACCACATCGATTATTGAATATATCGAAGCAATTACGAGTCGCTTGAAATAGTCATTCACCTGAAATTTAATCTTGAAATTGCCGGATTTTCTTCATTAAGCTTCCCATTTTAAATCATACATATTTATGCGTTTTTCTAATTACATTATATTTTGAGTTTTAGGAAACAATTGGATCTACTTCAGTGTTACAACATTCAACATCCACGTCGCGAATACAATTAACTCGCTGCGTTTCAACGGATGTAATTTTATAGATTACTAAGATAAATAAAGGATCAAAAATCAAGGAATGCCGGCAATGTGATTGAAAGTTTGGTATATTTATCAATAAGTCTCTATTTTATATTCACACAATTTTTTCCAAAAATAAACATATTTTGTATTATACATACATATTATTTCGCTTACGATATTTATCTTATGCATAAAATCATATTATATTACCTTATGTGTACAATTTAAGCTAACAGCGAAAGCAGCACACAGCAAGAAAATATTGTAGTTTAAAAAACAACTTATGGTCAAAGATTTCTTACAATGAAACTCACACACACGCACGCACAAACTTATGCACGTATCCCAGTGGAAACAGATTTTAATTAACTTATCTACTAATATATGTCAAATATATATTATGACACTAAAAGTATTAAAATAAAAAACAAGAAACATTCCATCATTATTCTACTTTTATATTATTGTATAATTACTATGTAATTATTACCACATCTTACTGTTGTGTTATTTTATGTGGTATTATGTCAATAAAATCAATTATGTTAACTTATTTAATTTGTTACATTATATGCGGTTGAGAATGTTTTATTTTGATAGTTATTAATAGAGATTTTACGATTTAAAATCGCATTTCATTGCAAAATATATTTATTATAAAATTAGATAATTGACTTTAGTAAATTATAACACGAGTATATACACATACTTGACACACATACATACGCCTTGTAGATATATTTCATAAACTTTTTTTATGTATAATTACAAACATTTAAAAAATTATGGTGTCAAATAAAAACTTATACTATAATATATTGCCTAAACCTTACATATTTAGGTGCCACGATAAGTTGAGTAACCAAACGGACTCAACAAAAGAGGCATATGATAATGACTATTCGGATTCTTCACGTCAAACACAATCTCAACGAACGGAAACATGGTTTCTATTTTTCTCAGTATGAAATACTTATCAACATCGAAATGCAACTTGTAACGGCCGCTCGTGGAATTTATCTTCTCTAGCAGATCCATGCAGTGACCATCCGCAGCTGTATTGCTGGTAACGAAATTTCATTTTAATACACATGTGCTTACATTTTTATTATAATTCTTATTCCAAATTATTCCGATGCTTTATTAAATAAATATATAATTCTATTAAAAATATAGCTTAACAGGAAACAACGAATTCTTTTTCTAACAAATTAATATAACTATGTCAAACAAAAAATAAGTAATAACTCAATCAATCAAAGAATCATGTACCTTTCATTCAAGAAAGTCCATTTTCCATCCAATAATTTGTACAAGCTGACTTGTAAACCGCCAATCGGAACTCCCTTGGTGGTGTCCACAACATATGTGGAAATGCGCAACTTTTTCGATGCAGAGGATTTTACAGATTGTCTTCCCGTAACAGTCTACAATAGACAAAGTACATATCTTATCAATAACAATTTTCTATGTATTACTATGTATTAATATGTTATATACTTTCTCCGTTCAATACAAGAAATTAGCAGGATCAAACAACTTTCTCACTAACCTTTTTATATAACGGTGTTTTAGTATTAGCTGATTGCGGGGTACTGGTACTGGGAACAGCCGGCGATTGACTGGAACTGGTGCTGGGAGCGAATGTTTCCGACACTTTGGCTTTAGTTTCAGTCGCCGCGGTAATCTTCTTCGAATCGGCTATCGGCATCAGTGTGGCTGGCTTGCCCTTGAGCTTCGTCAAAACGTATTGCGTGCCTGGTTGAAACTGGCCACCGCTTAACTTGAAAGCTTTGCTACCGCACATCAAAGTGACAGTTTTGTTCCTCATGATGTTGGGCACGATAGGTACGAAATTGAGATTATTCTGAGTTGGTGGTGAAATATTTGTTTCATAAGTCGTATCCAATATCGGCTCCGAGGAGGTCGGGTCATCTTTACTGTCCCCTTCCTGTCAATATTTTTTTCTTTAGATCTTTCTTTAGATCTAACTAACAATTTCAAGTATGAAACTTAATTCTAATTTTAAACGTGAAATTTGGTTAATTATAATTAAGACTAGTTTTTAATGTTTAAAAATATGTACATTATTTTCTATTCTTTGGAAACATAAATTGTTACTTACAAGAATTTTTTCTTTTGTTTCAGAATGATTTACAGTCTTTTCATCCTCAAGTAACTCTTTTTTGTTCATCGAATCAGATAAAATAGATGTATCAGCTTCAGTTGATTCTATCACCATCTCCATCTGTACATTATTCTGATCAACGACTTCTTCAAGATATTCATTGTGAACATGTGCCATCGCTTCGGCCAGAGGATCTCGACATTTTTCCTGTATAAAATCACAAAAATATAACGTAAAAAACTGCAAAAACTTAAAAAAGATATCTCCTCACCAGATGAAGGTATTCTATTACTACAAATATAATTTGCAAAATAAATCACCTCGGATAATTTGATCTTCTTTATTACAGGTTCAGAATTCTCATCATCAGATTGCAACTGTGCACAAAGATCTTGATCTATCTCTCTTTTCTCGTTAGTTTCTATATCTTCTTTGTAGTCTTCTTTGTATTCTTCTTTGTATTCCCTCATTGATTCTTCTTCCTCATCAGTATCCAATTTCTCAACAATGTACTCGATATCTTCCTCGTTTTCGTATTCGCCAACCTAATAATAATCCACAATGTAAAACGAAAAAAGAACAAAGTGATCCTTATATCACACTTATATATATTTATAATTAGCAGCAACAAAGTCGAAAAATCAAGCGTTAGTATCCATATTGATTTTGTTTTACATTTATAACTAGAAATTAGAGCCAAATGTGAATCAAATCATAATTATAGATTCTTAAAACACAACAAAACTCAACAGGCTTTTACTTTCTGAAATTTTGCATAACTTATTTCCTCATATTTCCATATACAGGAGGTCCAATATTCATTCTTTTTTAAATATATATTTTGTAACGATTGTTAATATATATAATTTAATTGGGTGCATAAATATGCAGAATATATTGATATCTTTAGCAAACATTTTTAAGGTAAACAAATGTTTGGGACATCCTATACATGAAGATTTGAGCAAAAGCAGCACCTCAATGGCAAGCCCTACTTCAGGTATGCCATCCTTTGCTTCTTTCTTTTCCTGTTCGTGCATTAGAGCAGCCCGTTGATGCTTCATGGTACACGTATGTTTCAGCAGCGATAAACGATGAGCATGTAAATTCTTCTTGCAATGTGAGCAGAAGGCGCGAGTTGGCTGAAATGGCACTGGACTCAACCATCCTGCAACAAAAATATAAGTTAAAATTGTTATTACTCTCTTTTACACTCACGTTATAGATCAGAGCAATTTTTCGATAAGTTTTACCAATGTTTTGACGATGCTCATATATTTTAAAAACTCATCGAAAAAAGTGCTTATCAAGTATTTCAAAACTTATTTCACCTCTGTTTCTATTTATACAGAAATTTGTAACTTATAAATTTATTACAATTGTATTATTGATCCGTCATTAATTATATATATTAATTATGCAATTAACGTTTAATTTATATATTTATAATGAATCGTTTATTATAATAATAAACTTCTTATATCTTATATTTAGGCTACTATATATATATATATATAGTGATATTTCTGCTATATAATGTAAAGAAAGAAACTGATCTCTTGCTTCTTTATCTCAACACAACTGATTTCGAAATATAACAGCACAGAAAGTTTCATTGAGTAGAAAAAAATTATGCTCCCGAATTTACTACCAACGTATCCCCTATTTTATTAACACTAGTTCTAGTTAACAAAATTTTTCATCGTAACTAGTATAATGAAAGTGCACAGAGGCTTTAGAATAGATCCAATCCACGTTAGGAAAGTCGGTTGGCCAGCAAGTCAGATTGATCCTAGAAACGACAAAGGACCCTAACATAGTATCTCGCGACGGCACAGAAAGTGGAATGTGTACCTTTGAATTCTGGCATCTGTTCCCAATCCTTCCGATAACGCTGAGCGTAGACACGCGTCTTTGCGTGGCTAATCTTACCCGTCGGTGTTAGCCGCGGCGGTGTGGAAAACATCGCCGTGCATAAAACATCTTGATCACCGCTTGCGATGAGCGTCACAGCTTGCTGTGGCGTTTTGTCCATACCCTCCCGTTGAATAATATTTCGAATTGCGTACAGTGGTTATAGAATACCCAAAATCGCAGCGCAAAATTACTAAATAGTTTTTTTCCCGCGATCTGTTGGGTGATCCGACGCGAGTTATGAAACGTGGGAATCGCTCTGAGAAAACGTTCTCTAGCTGCACCTAGTATCCGAACCCTAACTCCCTAGTACAATGGCGGACTCGACTACATCTTACTGCGTGCATGAAACGTTACAGCAGGTTACTCGCTAAGATGACGGTGCATTGCGGGACAACTGAGGGCGCTCGGTAGTTCTCGATCACTCAATTTCTGACGATGATAAGCTCTAACGACAATTAATTGGTTTCAATAAATTTTATTAATGTAATTGAATTATGATATTTAATATCAAATGAATATGTACACATGATCTACTGTTAAATGTATTTTTCAATTTTTTTTTATACCGACGCCATTAGCTACGTTACTGACCGGATGTACGTAATAGTCATGCGCACGCACATTGCTGAACATTGCCCACTAGAATCACGGAGTATCCCGTGCGTATAGTCTAGTTCATAAATTAGTGACAGAATGTTTCTTATGTTATTATAGTTTCTTTCAATGGAAATTCTCTTCCTGGAGTAAATTTACTTCTAGCAAACTTCTAGCAATTTTCAGAAATCACGGAAGACAAGTTGTTTTGCCATCTAAAAATTCCTGCGAACGTTTTTAACTGTCACGTTTCAATTAATACTTTTTTACTTATATATTAATAAAGATTCCAAATTTTAATGCAAAATTTGGTAAAATATTATCATATTAATAGTTTTCCTTTTCCCTATTTTAGGTTTTTTAGGTTGTTACTGCTTTTTTTATGATTTAATAGTAAACATTTATTCTCAAAATTATTGAAAACTCAACAAATGTTATCGTCATCAATTATTACATTACTTATTTCTGAAATAAAGATTATAAAAATGAATATAATTATTACTAGTCACACAATTAATATCTTTGCAATTACTCTTTATAAGTGAAAACAATAATTATTATAATTATATATTTTTATTTAATACTTTTGTATTAATTCTCTGTATTAATTCCTATGAATTCTAATTTTCTACACATGCTGCCTATCTATTTCAATATTTTCAAAGTAATTTAACATGTGTAACTTTCCATTGACAAGGTTATTAAGAATTTTTTTTAACTGTTTATGGTTTCCATTCAAAAGATGACAAAGGACGATGTATATACACATACATATACATACCCATATTTTATGTGGGTGAGAGACTCAGGTAGAATACCAGAAATTCTACTACCTGCGCCAGTCCAGTGGAGCTGGGATTTAAAACGGTCAGAATCATTTCTCCCTTACAAGAGAACACATCGCTGGTAACGTGCGAAGCAAGCACAGTAGGATATATATATATATATATTATACCTGAGGATATCTTCAAGCAGACGTTAAGAGTTTAGTTTAAATGGAAAGTCCGTGCACATTGCAATATATACATGTTTTGGATGCTGCAGAGCTCAACAGTTTACAATTTTGGTATGTAATAACAATCATAATTGATAATTTCAACTTTAAATTATGCTAAAATCTCCAAAATATTAAATGTTTAGAAAGGAAAATTCAATATCTTACTCTTTTTATTCCTTGCCCGTAAATTTGTTTCTTTTTATTTTTGTATAATACAAAAAATATTTTCCAATTATTGTATTTCTTTGAAATACTTTTGATAAATATATATATAAAATATAGTTTAAAACTTTATTTCTTTATGTATGTTTTATATAATATAAATTATATATTATTTTTGTAATAATTGAATTAAAAGTCTTTTTATTAAAACACTTTTAAACTTTTGATTTTTTTGAAATTAAAGTAGCTTTGAATTTAAATTTTTAATCACACTTTAATAACACAATTAATATATATAATTTATTAACATGAATAAATATTTCAATAAATAATAATTTCTAGTTATATTTTATTTAGTATAACGAATTTATCGTCAATAATTTTATAAATTTATAATTTTTATTTGCAAGCATTTAATTAACAAATATCTGTATTATTTGCAGATATATTGCCACGACGAAACGTTCTAATTCTCGAGAAAATTGTTTAACATATCATCATGTCAATGAAACCAGTTCTATATAGGGTCGAAACATACATCGTACCCGAGGCAAATGAACTCCCGGTGCAAGCCGCGATTAATGAAATGGATAACATCAAAACCATAAACCGATTCAAACATAAAAGCATATCTGGGAAAAATGTTCAAAACGATGATATGTCGCCTGCTACGTACAATAAACACATGGAACTCGTAAAATATTCTGCAGAGATCAACGAATTGAGTAATAGAAAAATTATGAATGATGTAACGAATAAGAATCAGACTCTAGTAATCAGACAAGAGTTCCATAACGATAATGAGTGTTGTCATAAAGATGATCTTCATTCTTCTAACGAGCGTCTTAATGTACAAAACACAAAGTTCTGTGCGTCGACTGAATCGCAAGAATTGTATCCTGTGAGACAATTCAAGAGATTCAACAGTTTGGTATCAATCGATGAGGGAAGCGAGATCTCACTAGAAACCAAACTGAGCGACTTTTGTCATCACGGCTACAAGAACGGTTGCACCGCGACGATTCCGCCGCCCGAAGAAGTCAGCGAGGAGATCTTCAAGGAAAACTGGTTGCAGAAGATAGAGATTCTGAGACAACAAGAGGCTGTGCTAAGAGAAAAGGAGATGAATCTGCAGAGCAGAGAAAGAGAGTTGTTCAGAAGAGAGAAAGAACTGAGAATCGCGGAGAGAGCTCTCAGGGATAAAATTAAGCAGGTGAATGAGCGGGAATTACAATACCAAAAAAATAAGCAGACTGCAGAGAAAAGACTGAATAAAGCGACGCGAATTTTATCCGACGAGCTCAAGGAATCGAATGATCCTGCAAAAACAGAGAGGTTGAGAAATTCTCAACCTTTAGTCAGCTCGTGTGAGAAAATTGACAGAAGGGAAGAATCTGATCTAAGAGATAAAAAATTAAAACATTTAACGCGTTCAAAAAGCCATTTATCAAAGCAACCCTCTTCGTCGAATGCAACTTCCGCATCTCATACATACGCCAGCATAAAATACAAAGAACGGCCCAAGATATGCTACGAAGATCTAAACTCAACGTTGTCAGCTGATCCTGGAGACTCATCCTTCGTACGGACGTCAGAACGATTTAATCCGGAATTGTACAAGAAACCAAGTGCGTTTACAAGATCAGCGAGTGAGCGATGGACCAAGCAGAAAGATAAGCCAGTCCCGAAGCGGTCAATGCTTGATACTGTAGAGAAGCTTGAACATATTGAGGAAGAAAAAGTCTTCAAAAAACTCAGTGAAAACATATGTGCTTCGCAGGACAAGAACACGAAGTTTCAGAATTATGGACTTGTGGATTGCAGATCAAATGACGTTCAAAGCAAGGTAGAGCGTAATCTTGGCAAGGAAGGGAAGTTCTTGTACCTCGATCTGGAAATCAACAACAAACACAGTCAGAAAGTGACCAAGGTATTCAAAAATAGACCGATCTCCTGGAACGAGGAGGAGAATAAATGGTTACAAAAAAAACGCGAGGCCTTTAATCTAGCAACTAAAAAATCTGAAAATAAGGAAAATCTCAAGTGCAATACCATTACAGAAAAAAGCGGAAAGACTTCGAAAAAGGATGTAAAGAACAAATTATTTACTATATTTCGTTAACGAGTATATAATTCTACTATTACTGGAGTAATTTAGAATTTAATTTGCAATTTAAAGATTAATTTTCTCTCGCAATATCAAGAACTGTAAATAAATTCACAATGTAGTCTTAATTTGATATTTAAAGTAATTTAAAATTTGTACAGTCATAAGTTTGGCATATATATCATATTTGCTCTTGTGTGTTTCAGTAAAATCACACAATTCCATTTATAATCTTTATTAAAATCATATTAGGTATTGTAATTTTTTGTTAAATAATATTGTATATATTCTAATATTGTATATATTCCTGCGAAGAAAAAGATTATACACATATACTAGTAAATATTGCATTATTATTTAAACTGATCGTGTCTTAACGAGATACATTTGTCACCTTATGACATCTGTGATTCATTAGGATATTAGTTTATTTGTTAACTTACATAAGACTAATTCTGCAACATTTAAGGTGAATAAGAATTGAATTTAATATGGCCAAGAAGGTGGTTCTCCAGGTTTTAATTCTCTGCCGTACAGCGCCGATTTGTCCCTAAACATTGTCATTTTCTCTGTATCCAGTTTGTCAATCTTATGCCCAATTAAGAAGCCCGAAATGGGAAAGACAAGCACCCAGTACGCTTTCCAAATGTGCTTGTGTGACAGACCCATGTTATTGTATTTTATTGTTTTTGCTGTTCGGCAAGTTGATGCTTCCAACGAGCCGTGCGCCTCAGATCTGCCCAAATTGCCCAAATAGTAACTGAGGGAAATATCACACTAATCAAGTTGCGCTTGATTAAAAATCCAGCAGCTTTAAGATTGGAAACAGCCATCAAACTGAAAAATTCGGAAAAGTTCGTGAAAATTTCAGATAAAAGGAAAACAAAATTAAATGCTATTCTTATAGTATGACTGTAAAACTATTGCAAAAATCGAGTTACGTTATATTTTTCAAAAATGGCAGTACAAACAGTACATCTGTGAAACAATTTAACTACCATTTCGAGGAGCAGAAAGCAGCATGAATAAATAAGTTGAAAATGAATAAAATATTAATACAAGTCTCTTACATTTTACGCACTGCATTGATTTTGCAGAATTATAGACTAGAAGGTTAGAATTATTTCGATTGTTATGTAATATACGTCACGATCGACAAACGAGCCGTTGGCCAATTGTCGTTCGTCGCTCTTTCTGTCACTCTTTCAAGAGCATCGATTTTAATCACATTAAAATCCCGAGTGGAATAAAACTGACGTAAAGAAAATATATGACAAAGCTTGATTTCAGATTGCACGAAAAAACGAAAACGAATTTACCTTTACTACGCAGTCGCTCAGAATCCATCAAAGTTGGTCCAGGACGATTTAACAAGAGGTTAGAAAACTGCGAGCAGTATACGCGGATAAAACGAACAGACCGGCATTCTCTATCATAGTATTTTCTATCTTATATCTTTTCAGATTTAACCCTAGTAAGCGAGTATCATAAAGGTGACTTTTTTCAGCTGCTGTGTTTCCTTGAATTTTTTGTGCTTAATATGAAATAAATCTATATCAAGATTTAAAAACAGAAGAAGGGGTAAGGTAAATATTACAAAAAATTCAGTTAATAATAAAACAAGTTTCTATATATACAAGAAAGACAAAAAAAAATAGATATACATATTAATTATCGAAGAATATTGTGAGGAAAACTATTCTGTGAAATGTGATTTTCTTCTACTGCAGCAAACAATTGCATTAAGGTGGCATTTCCAATAGAACGGTGGTTTTTACATACAAAAACAAAAAGATAAGCCTCGACTTGTGAGCTCTTGCTTATCACATTTATTGTCATTTATCTTCAAGTTGATCACTAGTCAAAACTTTGTACCAAGTACAAAGAACATTAGAGAGACACAAACGTAATGTCACTGATCTTGACAGGGATATTTGACGATTAGAATTAAAGACATGGAAATATCCCACTAAGAAAACATCAATTGTGATTACTTTTAAATTCTCATCAACATTTTCCTTTGTTGATTCAAGAGAGAATACGAAAATTTAGTGAAAAACATAAGAAAAGAAATTGTCTCGATTTATCTTGTAATAAACGATGAAAACTGGTAAGTTGTTATGTCTGTAAATTCTTTTTCAAAAAGAGAATAAATTTGTAATTTTATGATTTATCTACTTTTTTCAGGGAAGAGAAAGTTAAAAAGTTCATCTAATATGCCTCCAAAGTCAAAAGAGACGGAGGTTCTATGGTCGGACATAGCTGGTCGCATTTTGCTAAATGCGATCTCTCATCCTATCGAATATGCGAAGGTTCTGATACAGGTAAAATATATTCATCAATGGACTTCTCATGCGTATGAAATAACATAATTATCAAGACAAACATAGTTCATCTTTATTCAAAAAAGAATTTTACATATTTATCTCAAAAATTATAGATTGGATATGAGCCTATACCACCAAAACCAACTGTATCATTGTTTGGAAAGCCAGCACTGAAACTACCCAATGTCTTCACATATAGTAAGTCTGCCTTTAATTTAAAGTTTGAGAACTTTTCCTATTGTATTTAATTCTGATAAAAAAAAACTTGTACATTGCATATTGTATATGTTTTACAAAATTATACTATAATGTGTCAGTTTGAAATCAATTATACATAAATCAAAGAAATTTTATTTACTTTTTTATTTTGTATTATTCTTATATATTCTCTATCATGTTATTTTTTACAGTTAAACATATAAAAAGCGTGGATGGTTTCACGGGTTGCTACAGGGGCTTGATGCCAAAGCTGTGCTCCTATACAGTTAGCACAATAGCCTGCGAAAGAACTTTGGAGTACCTTCAAACAAATTCAGAGCAAAACGAAGAGGAAGATGACGAGGATGAAAGTGTGAGGTATACATTATAAATAAAAAAGTAAATAAATTTCTAAAAAGTAACTATTTAATGCGATATAATTATTTATATTTTGCAGGCGTGCAAGATGTATACGCGAGCTCACAAGGGACGTAATTAGTAGAACGGTCGCAATCGTAGTTAGTCATCCTCTGGAAATCATTTCATTAAGGATGATGGCACAATTTGTGGGTGGAGAAACCAAGTATAGGTATCATGAATAAATTATATATAATAAAAAAGAATCAATAATATTAAACATAATTTTTTTTTTCAATAAATTATTTCTTTTTTCCTAAACTCATTTATTATTACGATAAAAATTGCTCATTACTTTGCTTGTTATGCTCACAAATAGTGGTATATTCGGATCGGTCCTGGAGATCTACAGGGAGAATGGAATCCTAGGATATTATTCAGGATTGATACCACGTATTATAGGAACTACTGCTGTTATGATACTTGCTGGTGTTTCCACGTATGTCGTAAATAATTATATAATACAGGAACCGACGATGAAGCCATACACTGCCTCAATGATGAAGGTAAGCAAATCAGATATTTGTTTCAAAAAGAATTTCAATATATATTTCAAAATTAATGCTTTAAATTTTCTACATGCACAAATTTGTTGCTCTTTATATTCTTCCTGTACATTCTTTAAAATTAAATATTTATAGTTTCTAGCCACTACTGCTATGTATCCATTTCTGGTTGTGTCTCACTGCATGGCAGTAAATGACTGTGGGTACGTAACAAAATTTTTTGTTTAATATATTTAGGAATAAAATATGTATATATATATCAAGAATAACATGTATAGAATTATTGTATTTTGAAAGCAAAAATATTTCACAATTGATTGAAGCATTACATTATTATGAATATTTTTCACATTTTACTCAAAAGATTAATATTTATGAAAATTTATTTTAAGTTTGGTAGCTGGCGTACCGCCGCACATGCCGATCTACAAGAATTGGCTGCATTGCTGGTCCCATCTGTCGAGTCACAATCAGCTGAAAAGAGGCAGCAGTCTGTTATGGCGTTACTATACTGGACCGCAAATGCTGCTGAATGGCAAACTAATACCGATTATGGATAATAATTTCTACCGGCCCAGTCCTTAATGAACATCAAGTAAGCTATTGAGTTCGTAAGTCAAATAAGTCTGTTCCAAATGCTAATTCCTAAGTCACACCAACGTTGATCAAATGTATTCATTTGACGTTTTATTTATGCAGTATGTACATTTAACCATAAAAAGAGAACAGCAAAGGAAAGTTTAGCGGCAACGAATTTCTAGAGAAGTTATATGAGAATTCCCTGTGTTATTAAACGTTCTTGTAAGATAAAAAGAACAGTTTTCTAGTATATGTGATAAGAATGTTAAATTGGCATATGTCAATCTCGTTAAACCAAAGTTAAATATTAATCTCAAGTATTAGATTGAAACAATATCATGTTAGTTAAAAATTTTCTTTATAACACCAAGGAGCATATAAATATATATGATAGCATAAAATATTTCGATATGTTTGAGTAGCACAAAGCATTTCAAAATACTTAAGGGTCGTTAACAAACTCTCAATCATTTTACAAACTCTCAATTATTTTACAAAATTTGCTAATTTTTGTAAACTTGTTAAAATATTAGTCAATTTTTAATTTCACTTTTTACTTTCCAAATCATATTGCAAGAAAAAGAACCAATTAGGATTAGTCGGGATGATTACAATAAAGAATCAAAAATTATTGTGATTATTTTCTAACGAGGAACTCAATAGAGATCATGAGATTAATAAATAAAACATTTTACGATAACTATTGGTATGATTTTCGAGACAATGATATTGCAACATTTGTTCTGCTGTTATCAATCGCCTTAATCGATCCTATATCGTCAGATTAAACCTGCATAATATCTGTAAATAACGGAAAAAATAAATTAGAACGAATTCTCTGCGTTGCACAATAAAAAATGATACTAGAAGAAACAAGATGTATTTTTGCTATGTTGACAATTAGACTTTATTGTTTCGACAATTAATCAACTTACAGTGCGTCCCGCGTCGATAATCGATAAGATTTTAATGAGTATTGCATTCATCGGATTGTAAACGTCTTCCTATGTATATATATATATATATATATATATATTATGTCCTATAAGGGAGGGAAGGTAACACGCGCGAGAGCCTAATCTACATCTCCCGCCACTAAATACACGTATAAAAAAAATATCGACTCGCGCTAATAGTTGCAAAGGTGTTTGTACACACTTATTCTTCCTCAGGCATTACATTTGAACGGTAGCTCGCCTGCAAAGTGGGGCCAGCTGAATGTGAATAATGAACAGAGAATATATATACAGTGCGTCCCGTGATTAATAAATCTTTTAATAAATAAATAAAAAATTGTAGATGACTAATTTTCATAAAGATTGGAGAGTAAAATCTATCCGATCTTGTCTGAAAAATTAACAAATTAACTCAAGTTAAATTTAGAAATTAGAAGATAGAAGAGTATATTGGGACATACTGTATTCATAATTGATGCTCACTTAAAAATTAATTCTAGTTAAATCTATTGAAGCGGGACTCTCTTTCTCTCGATGTCTAAAAGTATTTCTAAATTTCAATAAAGTAACGACGTTCGCGCAATCTCGAACCTAATAATAAAATAATATCCTCTTTTCGTATTTGTTAAATTGCTTTATCGTATTTATATACCTAAGGAATTTATCGTCTCGCTCACGGTCGGACAAATGCAGTCATAATTGGTCATTGCTTCACAGAGAAATTGCCTCTTAAGAGAGAACTAAATATCATACTTTTAATCACACGAAGCGAATAATCGTTGCACACATAACACAGGGACCATCGCGTATCCTCGTCGATAAAGTGTACTAATACCAGTTATCAAACTTATGTATAGAACTCTATTCGATAAAGTGTATTTTCGAGAACATGAAATGTTTGACTTTTACAATGAAAACTGCAACTACGTGCTAGACGATATCAGGATTGCTGGAACAGCCACTAAGTGTAATCGATCAATGTCGAACAATTCCCATATGCTTTTGTAAAGTATCTCTTATTTAGTATATGCCGTCTTAAAGATTTGTTTGGCTAATATCGAGTTTGATTTTCTCAAGCAAGCTACGCGAACGCGTTGCAACATCGATCAGCGCTCTAGTCTGTTCAACGCTCATTATTTCAGTATTAACCATCGTAATACTATCAACATCCGTAATCTGGCGAGAGATTGCATTATCTCATATTGTCAATGAAAGTTAGTCTCTGCGAAAACAGCCAGCCTTGAAAAATTCGTGCACACACAATACATTTGAATTAAATCTGAAGTATGTAACGTTTTGTGATCGCAAAGTTAAGAGCCCATCGATGTATCCGAGATATAATGTTTCCGCAAAATTGAGAACTTCTATTGAACGGGAAAGTATGAAGCCATCGTTGTTACAACTGTTCCGAATCGCGTTAAAAAATAATCGGGGAGGAACTTGTGTTCAATTCACGTTAATTCTATCAATCTCGTTCTTGCGTAACACGATAAAGATCCGGACGATCAACATTTAATATTTATTCAATCAACATCGCATCTTACGCTATTATCATTAGGTATAACAATCGATCGTTTGCCGTGTTCGCGTTTTAACGCATGGGGATAACTTTTTAGGCTCTATTCGCAAGGCTATGTACATCGAGGAATACTGCGCGCGTTTCGGGAATGTTGGCGAAATCGAAAAGCAAGGAGCACACATCCAAGCGCGATACTTCACAGTCAAATAAATATGAAACGGTGTTACTCTCGGCGTAACACAGAGCGAAACTGTTCAATATTCACATTCTACAAAGAGTTTGGATTTCGACAGCTGCATCTGAGGAGCTTTTTTTTCACTTCGTGATGTAGAGTTTTATTTCCTTCTTTTTTTTTCACATTTTTAATCTTTAAATATTATGCGTATGTACAAAAGTATATTTCTTACAATGTATGAAATATAAAAAAAGAAAGAACAACTTAAAGTAAAATAAAGTAACACGTTGACATTACCAAGGCAGCATAATACTTAATACGTCAGTAAGAGTAGTTCTCTCTCTCTCTCTGGGGAGAGAAAGACAAGTATGATAAATTCGTTTATCGAGTTTCACCCGGAAAATAAATTCGACGAGCCATTAATTCCTTCCTTAGATTTAATGTAAGACGGAACGACATAATTCTGACCAGAAATTTTAGCCACAAAACATATCCAGAGACAAATCTATTTTTTCATCATATGGTTGCATTACGAAATTTAGTTACATTAGAGTTTAATGAGATTCATATTATCGATTACTTATTAATATCTAACAAAACACAAGTCTTTATGAATGAATTTGTCTCTAGGTACATTTGTATTCATATACAGTACGACTTTCTACTTTTTTAAATTTTTAATAACTTGTTTCAGTCCCTTATATCTTGTCGTTATCAGACGTTTTTTCTCAAAAAGATCAAAAATTAACGATTACAAATAAAACTGAATGACAAATATGAATATGTTATATCATGCAATACGAATATAAGATATGAACAATGTAGTTCAACTATTTATTAATAAATTAGGCCACAATATAGTGACAACATTTCGTTAATTTTCTTATTTTTTAATTAAAACATCATTAATTTTGTTCTGTTTAAAATTTTTTAAATTGAAACATAGTGAATCACTGATCTCTTTGGATCTTTGGTATATAAATTGGAATGTGATTAATTGTGATCTCTTTTTAAATTTTCTTTTTGTTTAAATTCAAATATAATTCTTATAACTTTATAACTTTAAATTGAAATGCAATTTATAAGAATAACGAATATCAAAGATTATATTGTAATTAGTATTGTAATTAATTTCAGATTACGTTCTAAATGGTACATTGTATTAATTTTCTCACTTCTAAATTTTAATTCTTCAATTGACGCGCTTTCTATAGAGAAATCTTTTGAGACTTAACATGATAGCTCTCGTATTTGTCATTGGTTTTTCGCTGGCGTATGTGCACGGTTTCTTATGTGCATCACATACATATACAGAATGTGTTAGAAGCCGCACGTTGTTTCTTAAGAATATTTTAAAACCTTTCACAAGATTTATATGTAAATTCTATATTTTTAATATTAATCTTTCAATACTTTACAAAAAAGATATAAGCTAATTATTTTATTTTTCAGGAGAAGCAAAGAAAAATTTGAAAAAAAAAATGCTTACGATAAATCAGACTACTATAAAAACATTAATTTGTTAACAGTGATATGTAGCTAAAAGAAGGAAATTTCTTGTTGCGAAATCAAATTCCGATTTATACATTTTTTAGGCATGAAAAAGTTTGAAATTGACTGAGCGGCACAATTTCGTTGATGATTTTATCCGACGCTCGATTCCCAGAAGACAAACTTTTAGCATCTCTTATAGATTATTTCCTTAATAAAAATACTCTTGTTTTTAGCTCAAATCGCGCGACTTCTAAATCACCTTGTCTGCGTACATACATCTATAATTTCACCTTCGACAATATTTCTCATACGGTCGATTCACTCTACTTCAAGTCCAGCTCCACTTCCGGGCTCTCCAGGGAGAACGGTTTTAGATTCTCGACAATAGGCGTCTGGTCCGGATCGACGCGGATACGAATCTTATTAGTGTCTAGAGAGCGCGGCAGCGTGCGCGGCAGATCATCTTTATACGAGGCAGCTGCTGACAAGGGCGACGCGTACGGCACGTAGATACGCACCACGTCCGGGCTGGGCTGATGTGGCGTCGCCCGGGGTGTCGGCAGACCGCCGCTGCCCGAGCTGGCATTCGAGATATTGCTCTGAGTGTCCAGGCTGTTGTCCAGCGCCTGGGAACGCGTTGCCGAACTGAACACCGAGAGGTCGGCTGTGGACGTCACTGACGTCTCGGCTAACGATCTGCGAGAACCATTGGGTGATGTACCTTCCTCGATACTTGGATCGAAGGAGAATTTGCTACCTGCAAACACAGAGCTTTTGTTAGAAATGTAAAATTAACTCCAGATATACAATATCTTAATCCATCAAATGTTTGCAGAATATAGAAATAAGAGAAGTAGTAAGATAGTTTTAATTTATCATTAACAATCATTGAAAAATATAGAATATATTTTTTTTAATAATTTTTATATGCATAAATAACAAAAAAGGACTCTTGGACTAAATAATAATTTTAATAATGACAGAAATAATATTTTAGTAACTGGGTACACATAATAGTTTTAGAGCGATTTGCAAAGGCATGAAATAGTGAGAAATTTTGGAAAGAAAAGATGTTAACTTGCAAAGCATGTCTGATTCAAATTATTGACGAAAAGTGAATGATAGTTTCAGTATTAAAAATTAGTACGCTTCGTAATAACTGCACAAGTCTATTATTTATTCATAACATCGGGAGAACATCATTGGCTTAATAGTAAGATAAATTATCTTAATTTAATACATTAATTTAAAAAAGTTACAGTAGTTTTTAGTAAAGCAGGATTTTCTGATTTGCATGCATGGATAGAGTGTGTTGTATTAAAACACATAAGACTTGGCTTGATTAATTTTGGAACATTTATTAAATATAAACATATGAAAAAAAAATTATGAATGATTATAAGAGAATTCATCAATAAACATTTTGAGTAAAGCGCATCTCTGCCGTGCATTTGTAACACACTAAGAATTTAATTAACATTGAAGATTAATATCTCAACTAATTGCCGCAGATCTATAATCGCAGATTAATACCGCTGGTAACACTTAATACTATAAAAAAATATCCTATTAATACTGCATTAATATACAGAATGCAACTGTTGTATATAAATCATTTTATACGATTATGTACTATTTTACAAAACATATTTTTATGCTTGTATCGTGACAAAGGCTTCCTGAAAAGGTTTCCTACAAACTATATTCAACATCTCGTCAAAACTTTATTGAGCAAAATTGTTTGCGCGGCGATATTCATCGCCACGATGAAGCACCGGTTCCGCTTACAATCTAGTATTGTAGATAATTGTTATCCGTGCGTTCGAATCGGCATCGCTCTCGTCCTCGGAATCTTTGCCGCATTCGGCACGCGAGGTACTGTCTGTGCTATTACCGTGTAATGTATCGCGGCTATCTCTAAACTCACCGCCAAGGCCACTGGTCGGCTCGACGGGCGTAGTGCTCTCCCTGCCGTCGTCGATCAACGCCATGTCCCTGCGCTGCGCCACGGACTCTCGCATTACATGCTGAGCTTCGCTAAACTCCTCGCTTCGTCTTCCAACCTGCATGAAACGAGCAGGTGTTATCACTACGTAGCGAGTATGTATCGAAAGAATATCCTTGACGGATATTCTTATTACCTAATTACTTCAATCCAGTCGTCATAAAATTTACTGTATAAAAAAAAATAATTGCACTTTTATTAAATATAATATATATTAATATCTACGTAGCACGATATTTCTTGTTAGAAACTAAAATAATTTTTCTCTACAGCAAACACGAATAGTTTATGGATTTTAGAAATGTAAGATCTTTATTTACTTTAGAGATATCAAAATAATTAAAGTTTCAGGATAATTAAAACCTGCAAACAAGTATAATGTTCAGTTAAATTGTGTTAAAAAAATTTTATCGAATTTATTAACCAGAACTATCATTTTGTTCTCATCAAATATATCTACATTATTCTGTAGATTACAATCTCTGCAAAAGATTTAATAGATAAGGATCCCCCATGCAATTATATTCTACTTTAAAAGAGATATCTATTTTAAAAAAGATTAATTTAGATGAATAAATTCAAATTTGGATCAATTTTGTCTGTTTATCAGCATATAATAAGTCATACATTTTGAAAATTTCTATTGTGTCTTTTAATAAGAAATTAAATTTTTCAGGTTGCTCTGCATTTGTATTTATACATCTCGTAATTGCTCATCGTGTCCATCGCGTGTATTATGAAATATACCTCTACTACGTATGTTGCTCCTAGCAGAGGAGATTTTGAAAGTGCCAAACAAAAGCATTCTGATAATACCTTGTTAGTAAAGGAGGGCTCCTTGAAAGTGCCAAACGGATAACGGGGCAGTTCCTGGGGCAATGGGAGACCCGGGTAGTCTAATTTGGCACGCTTTAATTCCTCCATGCTACGCTCCATCGTGCTGATCACAGTGTCGTCATCGAAGCAAAAGTTTTTCTCCAGTTTGATTTGCAGATAATTGCAGAACTCATCGAGGCTCTCCATCGGCATCAGATAGCGCTTATGTAGCTTCATCACTGTATATGCCATCGCCGGTAGTATGCGATCACCGTCCAGCAAAAATATGTCCCAAATACGAAGACCGAGACTAACAGGGGTCTATAAAAGCGGATTGATATTTAGTATTGGAATGGAAACTATAAATTGCAAAAAGAAGAAAGCTTACTCTTTCCTGAAAGACGACGAAGAACCACTTCAATGCATAAAGTATGGAATCGCAGCCACACTTGTCCAACTTTCGTTTTAGCTTGGGCAAAAATTTGTTCATTATTTTGTCATGATGCTCTATGAAGCGGTTTAATTTCGGAAATCCATCGACATAAAAGCCTGTAAAGTATGTATAAATATCTCAATACACCGATAAATGTCAATACCGTCCAGAAGTTCATAAATATGGTTGGTTTGACCTTTAACATTTGAGAGACTACAGTATGTTGTTTTTTTCTTTACTTATGCGATAAATTTATGCAAAAATGCACATTAAACAAACTTTTTCTTTAATATACTCTTCTATTCTTGTCATTCTTCCATATTCATGCACCTTTGGATGGTAACTTTTCCTCTAAAATTTTTCTTGGGGAAAACATTAAAAGAATAAGTAATTGAAGAATAAAAATATTGCTAGAGAATTATTTTAATACAGAAGAAAATCCAACCATGCATGCTGTATTTTTGATCGGCAAGCAACACAGAAAGGCCCCAGAATGCGTCTTCCTCGTCCATGTAAAGCAGTAGCAGGCCTGCTAGCACGGACATTCCTTGACAATATCCTACTTCCATGTTGTACATACTGTAAGCGGCTAATACGTAAAACATGGACTTCTGTTTTATGCTATATCTCTCCCTGGAAAAATGATCCAATAAATGTATCATTTTTCTGGATACGCAAATTGTAACAAAGTCATCACGTTGTATCATTTGAGTGTCATGCAATACCACACCTATAGTTAATGTGATCTCTGTATTGTCTGGCAACATCGGCGTCGATCTGTCGTATCTCCGTGGACCACTGGCGGGCCAGCTGTAGCATTTCCTCGTACTTGCCCGCCTGCTCCTTCTTCAGATTTTTTATGCCTAGAAGTAAGATCCATACTTGACCGCGAAATCTGTTAGGAATCCCTTTGTATATTCTACGGCGCAGTTTCTCCTTGGTCGAGGCACTGTCCCATTGCTTTGTCATCTTCTCCCATTTCTTCAGTCTCTCCATCTCCACGTGGTGCAACTTGGCCTGATACGAATCCTTCTGTGGTAGTCTCTTATCGCTGCAGTAAGAGAAATGATCATTAATATGATGATATATGTTGATTTCAGAATCTTAGAATAAAACATTTAGAATTATACATAATTATCTGATGCAAAGATATTTTAAGATGCTAAAACTCTATATGCATGTACATACTGTATGAATCCATATCTATCTGTAGTGTGATAGACTTCATAGCCGGGATCCTCCCAGGGATCAATCTCAGCGCCTTCCCTACCACGGTCATAGCAGCTGAAAATCCTATCGCGCTCTGCGGCAGACCGTTTCAATAATTCTTCCTCATTCATCCCACGTGACAGTGCGCGGCCAGACTCTTACAAGCATGCCGTTTCGTTAATGAACCCCTATACCAGCATCCAGCCACACAGCTTCATCTATAAAGAAAAAAAAAAACACATTGTAGTATATCTTGGATGAATGCAACTTGGTAAGTTCTACTATCCAGCAATTATGCAATTCTGTACAATGAAAAGTAAACATGTACTGAACTACAATCATAAGTGAGTCCAGTGCGTGTTTACATATCTGGATCTATTAAATATCGCCTAAAAAGTTATATTGCAGGAACAAGTGACATGGAGAATGCAGAATGTACGCGTGTGGAATTACATGTATCTCCTCGGCGTTCACGCCGCCCGGAACGTAACAGATTTTGCCGTTAAATCATCATATCGACACACGAATGACAGGTAAACTCCTTGCGATTAAACACACGCGTACTTAATGTGTGACCGAGTGGCCGGGCAGGCTCGAAATGGATCTGTCCGGTTCCTTGCTGGTCAAGCGCAGGCGATACACGCGACACAACATTTGAACTCCTTGGCCGCTCGCCTCTGCTTCTCTTCGAGAGTTCGCGGAAGACACCAGCAGGTTCCCGATGCGATTATAGCGCACTCTCAATGGCGCTACTTGGATACAGTTTGCCAATATAAACCGATAAAAATTTCTAGCGATAATTATCGGAGAGTTGCCGAAGCATGAAGGAAACAAACTTAAAGGTTTCCTAAACTGGTATCTAAGCATGCGTGTGTAACACGTAATATACATATGAGGTATCGTAAAAATAAACTCTGTGTATTATATAACAACATAGCGTTGTAAGGTATCTTTCAAAAATATTTAGTAAATTCTGTGAACAATTTTTTAATTTAGTATTGCATGAAATAATTTCAAATAATAAACGACACACATTTATTATTAATTTCATAAAATAATATTTTATTTTTATAAGAATTATTTTATAAGAATACTAGAGAAGAATTATTATTTCACAAAATAATTTACGTAAATTTAAATTATTTATTATATATTGTATATCCCAGTTTTTCGCAAATGATAGAATGCATAATAGAAGATTAATTGATTACCGTGCGTGTTGCTTTTTATCAAACAAAACATGTTTTAATATCCTTTCAATATTCCAATGTCCAAGTTATTAGAAGAACATGTTTCTGTAAGAGTTACAAATTGAAATTCAAATTTCGCGCATTTTTATTATTTAAAAGAAAAGGTTAAACTTCCTAGTTTTAGGAGAAATGGTACGAAATAATTTCGCGGTGGCGCTAACAATTGCAGCTTAGTTCATTTTATTAGTTGCTTTATTTCTCACCGTTTATTGTTGAATCATAACGGCCATTTTTTGAAGCGCAATGAAAAACACATTTCTACTTTTACTACATTTTATTACATTTTCGATGGATTTTTGCAATCTCTTTGTAATAAAGGTTTGTAATTTCGAATAGCTACCTGCATAAGATGGCTTTTAATAGTTTTAATAGCTCGTATATTTCACAAGACGTAACAAAGCATAATTCCTCTAGTTATCACAAGTTTATGAAAAACTGTTCCGTTATATATATGCAGCTTTTAGTTAAATATGATATAATGCACTCAAAATCACATTAGCAAGACAGAACTTTATGTATCTGCTTAAAAATAGATTTGACTTTTAAACAATTTCATTTTTTTGTTGCAAATTAAACACTTATATATAGGAAGAGAGAGAGAGAAAGAAAGAAAAAGAGAAAGTCATATCATAGCATGGTTGTGCCAATAATAAAAATAAAATCCAGTGGTGTTGAGAAAAATGTCTTATTCATGAGATTCTTATTTTATATCAGATTATATGCGAAAATAATATTTAAAAGGGGAAAGGAGGAAAAGAACAACAAGTATCAAAATATAATCATTTAATTATAATTTTACTAACTTTCAGTATAAAGATCTAGAGTACAAGATTTTCACCCGTCAAATTACAGGTGCTTATTGCTGATACTAGACTTTACTTTAAAAGGTACTCTAACGCATCACAGTTTTCGCGACATATAGCGCAGTCACGTCATCGCCGTTGTCACATGTGTATGTATTCATTTAGGTAACCGTCGTTAATGTATGCAAGTACCTTAACAATCTCGCGTGTGTTGAAATGTACCAGATATTTCGACGACGTGCGAAAAATCCGGGAAGTACAATCGAGATTCGCTTATTATCTTGAATAACAATAAATTTGCGCGATAAAACCTAGCAACAACGGCAGTGATAAATCGACACAAAGTTTGCGGACGATAAAGTATGCAAAGCTCGTTACGGAAAGGAAATCGGCTGGAGATCTCTCCCACATCGTTACACACAACTGCAATAGTATCACTTTTATCTAAATGTATAAACAATCTATCTAAAATTGAAATTATTGAAAACGAGTATATTTTTCGATCCTAAATAGCGCAAAATTCTAAAAAACATTTAGATTTCTTTTTATAAATTTCTCTAGACATCTTTTAGAATTTCGGGTATCACTTTGGGCTTTTCGATTAAAATTGACTTTTCTTTCACAGGCAAATTCAACGCGCGAATTTTTGCGCTCAGAATTTTATGTTAAAATATTGATATATATAAAATAGAATTATAAATTCTCCAGGCCAGATTCTAAGCCACTCCAATCTTCGATTCAACAAAGAAACATAATGTACAATTGCCTCGCAAGTATTAGAACAGAATTTAACGACAGTCTATGTTTCAATGCGTTTGTTTCACTTCTAACAATTGCGGGTAATTTTCCACGATGTTTAATAATATCCCATCAATGTACGTTCTCAATTGCGTGTTCACTTCTTGCTGTTCCTTTAATGCCTGTTTTAACTGTAACATTACAATACGTGAAAATTATAGCGGACTGTTGTAAAAGCGTCGGCACATGTAATGATCATAAAATTTCAAATTAGCTTTAATACTCACTTCAGCCATCGTGCACGGTTCGCCAAGCTCCCCGATTCCCGGGCTATCTATCTGTAAAACGATTAGAAAGTCGATATTAATATTAATTACTCGTTTACAGGATCGTCGGTCATGATGTATCATGAAAATACCTGATCTGGATTCATGCCGGCTAACAACTCCACAGCGAGACTGGGTCCTTTCTCGGCATTATTGTTGTAAGGATTCAGCATTAAAAGTTCGCGACCTGCTTGCAGCGCTGCAGCAGCCTGCAATTCGTCTCGAGATTCTTCCAAGCCTGCAAAATCGGTAAGTGAAATGTTGTAACAAAAATCTGATGGGACCAAAGTCTCAGTTAAAGAATAACTACGTATTTTAATTCTTTATACGTTTACATATTTAAAAAACTTTGTTTGCGGAATAACTTTACGCATTTTAATTAAAATAAAGTCTTCTTGCAAATAGAGGTAATGATTTGTTTCATGCAACGATAATAATGAACATACTTTTATTACGAGCTTGAAGTTCAGCTACCTGCTGTACCAATTCCTCGAGCCTCTGCTGATCCTCGTTCCGCAACGAAAGTTCCTCTCTCATGGCGTCGAGCAGATGATGAGCTTCGTTGGCTCGGCTTATCGCATGACGTTCACTTTCGCGCGCGGCGTCCGCTTCTCTCTTGGCCTCCTGGAGATTGTTTTCGAGCCGCGACTTGTCCGCCTTCGCTCTTTCGAGCTGCTCGCGCACTCGTGCAATTTCGTCCCGTAAACTGGAGCTGTCCAGCTCGGCCGCCTGCAGCTTAATGTCATAGTTCTCCAGCTGCAACTGACGCTCGCGTTCCAAACGACTCGCCCATTCTCGGTGCCGTCGTTGCTCGGACTACGTAGAGAGAGAAAGATTGCGAATTGAAAGAATGATTGGAAAAAGACATCTAACAAAGCATTATTTTTGGAAAAATATTTACAGATTTTATATATTATAGAATCTTATGCGTACATAAAACTTATTTTACTTTTTTTTTGTTTATATATTAATTATTTTAATTTTGCTTACAGCAAATAGACGAAATACTCACTTGAATCTTCTCCTCGGCTCTCGTTTCCGCATCCTTCTGCGCTTCCTCGAGCATCAGTATGCGAGCCTGTAACGTTGCATTTTCCTGTTTCGCTCGAGCATACCTTTCTTCGCCGACCGACTTCGTATCTACGAAGGCATCCATTTGTTCCTGGATCAATTGAACCTGCGGCATTTAAAATAAGTTTAGTGCTTCAGCGAGATGATGTTCACATCTCATTCCAGAGCATCTTCACAATGAGTCATCTTTAATGCTTTGACGTAAGAATTAATTTCAACAATTAAATCCATTTAAGGTATAAAAAATAATTTAGATAGAAAGTTAAGATAATGAAAATCATGATTAGTTAGATATGAGAGAATCAAGACGGAAGATTTCACGACGTCGATCGACGGGAATAAAAAAAAAATCCAAGAAAACTATTGAAAAGATTACCCGAGTCACCGATCGAAAGTGCAAATAATTCCGCCGTAAAAATGCCAGCGATATGAATGTACGGATAGCGCCTACGTAGCATGGAAATCGCGCAGGGAAAGTGGAAGAATCGCCTGGACTCCCTTTAGAGAAACGTTGCGCGCGTGCCCACGTCATCGCGACTATCAATGATAAAACTATCAATGGGGAATGGATAGAATACTACTTACGGTCTGTTTTTACTTGAACAATCCGTTTCACAGTAGGTCCGAGAAAGTACAATAGAGAGTGCCCTGCCTTTACTATATCCCGCAACTCGATTATATTTCGCAGTTATGTCATTTAATCACAGGTGTTGTATGTACTAGCGATATTTGTCATCATCTTGTCATCGAAAAATGTCGCTCGCGATAAGGATAATCGAATTGATACGGCTTTAGACATATTGAATAATCGAAAAATACCGCATAAACTCGTTGCTCTAGCTATTTTCTATATGGCAGTTTTTCAATAATTAAAATATTGGCGAATGTGTCTCTAATGCATGTTTCTAACGCGTAATTGAAATAAATATACTTTGCTTGTTAAATTCACATTCTGATGCTTGCAGAACGGACGGACGGAAATGGCGAGGATAGATACGCAATAATCCTCGCAAGATAAATATTCGCAAGACGGCAAGTTAATTCGACGAATTTGTAACAGATTAAAAATTAAAGACTTCGGTGATCAGCGGGCGTTTTCCGCGTTGAAGATCGCTCTTCTTACTTGCTCGCTGAGCCGGGATCCACGACGACGAGTTGGCTGTCGATCGTTGCGTGACGGCGGCGGCGGCAGCGGCAGCGGTGACGATTGCTGTCCTACGAATTGGAACTGGCCCTCCCACAAGTCGTACTCGAGGCCGGCTCCTGGTCCGGAGGACGGCCCCTCCCCGGAAAACGTTGCGCGTCCGTCGCGATCGCACAGGTCGATCGTCTCCTCGCAAAAGTTCAGCTCCATCGTGGCGCGGCGCGGCGCAGCGGTGTATCGCAGGCCCGGTATGATCGTGTTTATCGCGTCACGTCATCGCCTATATCGCGAGCGCACTTCGTCATCCCCGCGCGAGTTTCTTCGTCTTGGTCGTCGTCGTCTTCGTTGCCGCCTTTGTCGCCGTCACCGTCGCCCTCGTCGCGACGTGCGACCGCGTCGCGCTAATACGCATCGAAAATGCACTACGGCTTCCTTCTGCGCGAGACACGCGCACTTCCACCACGTCCTATGCGGCTCTACGCGCCAGGAATATATTTCAAGTCCGTCCGTCCGCTCGTGCGTCTCTCTTTATCGCTCTTTTTCACTCCGTCTTTCTCTCGCGATCGGATCGCCCACCACGCTGGACTGGGAGTCTGGGGAGTAGTCGCCGCCGATGCTATTTGTGCACTCCATACCGCGTGCCGGTTAACTCCGTACTTGGCGCTCGCCCATGATGTTATGTCGAATACACTCTAGCTAGCTTTACACCTCCCCTTCTCGCCCACGACATTCGCGTGGAAAATGTCGCTGACATATAGTCTGTCTCTACTGAAATCGATGTAATTCCCATTAGGCAGTATAGATATGCGAAAATAGTCCGCGATGACGAAATCGCGATAATCATCTTCAAGTTGGTTCTCCTACCTTAGCCGCACGAGACATTGTACTCGTTGAAACTACTCCAAATCCGGAATTCGTGGTTAAACATTCCCTCGTTACATTTTTAATGCGCAACTTTCGTCTTTTTAATTATGGCTTTGATAAATGTATCACAATGCACATTGCACAGTTTTAATCATCATGTGGAGCGCGCGCAATGCAAGCGATATCACACCGATAAGCACTGGCTGATAAACAATACACGCCCCTAATTATTCCTTCATTCGACTCCAATTCATGCCCACTTTAATTATCAACGTAAATGCTATCCAGATTAACGCGTGTTCGAGACGATAACTCGCCTCGCTCTGTTACATCACCATAAGTGTGTCAGCATTTGCGACCGCGTTGCACGTTGGATTACGCCAATGTAAGCTACGTTTGTTTTGCGCATTGATGTAAAAAACAGTCACGCAAACAGAGCATACTTGCGAGGGGCGTGCATTGTCATCGCGTCATCGTCGGAAATCATGTTGCGTCAAATTTCCTTCTGTGTGTAGACGTTGTATTCATTTATCACCGCCTTATAATTGTTAATTGAAGTCTGTAATTATTTTACTTACTGTTTAATATCGATATATTCGTTTACAATTTTTATTAATCAATATTATTTCATATGTTTCAAAAGATCTGCAAATTTGATGAATTTTTTGCATTACAGCCGGCAAGTCATAAATTGTTTTCTTCTACATGTGTGAACGGGGAATATTCATTGTCGAGTCATCGTAGGCGTTTCACGTTGATGTCCATCTCTTGTAGGCGTCACAGCCCAAATACGCAATCCATCCTGCGAGTAACAGGAAACTCACAAAGGGCCAAGCTGCCCAGTCGAGCAGACCCAGCAGACCTGCGGATTGCGCCGGACAGTCCATATGTATTATTTCCTTCCGGACTTGCGAAACTACGTCGCAACGCTAAAGTGAATTTGCTGGCGAAGACGTAAATGTGACTTGCGAATTTTGCTGGCAGTCGATTCTTACCGGGATGATTGCGATTCATATTTCTACACGTTGGAATTACGCCAAGCTCTGCGACAAAATCGCGTCCATTAAGTCCGTTGAGTTTCCTCTGTTAATAGTATGTACGTAAATAATTTAAACGATCTTTTTTTTACGTGGATACATGCAAACTTGTCAATTTAATCAACAACATCATATTGTACGTTGATAGGCATCTGTTCCTTTCGCACGAAATTATCTGCGAAATATAAAATTTCGCATGAGGTAAAGCGAATTATACAGGATATCCTAGAATAAACCGGAAATACGCACGTCAGGCGTTGAAATCGGCGTAATTTTGATGAGATTAAATCATGTAACATTCTCACTATATTTATTTATAATTACGGGACAATTAACGCGTAAAATTCTCTTTAATTTAATTTAATATCAAATCTTTTTTGTTCCAAAACTTATATTTTTTGTTCTTAAAATTTACTTTGTAAAATTTCTTGTATTATTATTTGATTATTTTAACTTTATGTTTGCAAATATCTTTTTATTACTCAAAATGCCATTAATATTTAATTATTAATTAATATTTCCAACTGTTAAGTGTGTGTTTTATGATTCGTTTAAAAATTTAGCTCATCGGAAGTACGCCGATTTAATAGCCTTTTCCATAAACTGTGCGATAAAATAGAAATCTTTCTCATCGAAAGTAATTACTTGTTCTTGTTGATGATTGAGCTGCATTCAATCAAGCATTTCTCCTTATTTTTCTCGATTTCTTCTGTTCGAAGTTTTTCAGATGCTTTCAATTTTTACTTTGTCTTCTACTCATTGCAATTTATTTCGATACTACTGTAACGATCGTAGAATTTTGTAATGTAAGTGCCGGTTCCTACAGCGATATCGAGCTTCTTCATCAACTTGATACTTCTGAATCGCGCGTCCTCGTTCTCGTTACTATCGTCGTAATTATGTAAACACGACAATTCGTCCTCGTTTTCGTCCTCGTTTTCGTCCTCGTTTTCGTCCTCGTTTTCGTCCTTACAATCGTCGTTTTCATAGACAAGATCGACCAACTTCTTCATCACTATGTCCTCGCCGCGATCTTCGCGAGACAGACTGTCACCTTCGTTCCGTTCGGTGCGTCGGAGAAATTCTGCGGGATAATTCTGAGTCGCGTCGTGCCTCGTCCCCGTCCTCGCGGTCTACACGAGCCGAGAAAGACGTACAGGATCAGGACAGGTTCCTCGGGGAATCGACCGCTTTACGGGCCTCTGTCCCCGTAATTATAGTCCTGTGCATAAGGTGCGCGAAAAAAATGCGACGTTGCGTTATCTGTTTCTCTCTGTCGAGTACGTCGGAAACATGCTAGCTGATAAGAGAAACGGGATTCGCCTACCATTTCGTTCTTTTACAGGGGCGGATTCGTACGGAAATCGTAATTATCAGCGAAACTTAAGGCTCCTGATTCGTCACTACCGTCGCATTGAGTAATGACGTCAGAAATGAGAAATCTTATGATTCATCCTTGCGGAGTCAAAATAAATGAGTGTCTTTCACATGTCACCGACAAAGTATAATATTCGAGTTGGAAGTATTTGTCCGTTTATCTTTCAAAATTCACGGGACGTTGACAGTGGCACAGGATTCTAGATATCAAAGTCAGCATCCGCCCCTGTCCGTAACAAGTAGCATAATTAAGTAGAGTAATTAATTTGGTCTCACAAGTAAGCGTACGAAAAATGTTTACTTCAACTCGCACTAAAAGTCTTCGGTTCGATTATTCATACACGAAGATAATAACGCGACAAACGCGACAAGATTAAAGGTTTCTGAGAATGACTGCAATTATTTTAATTCCACGATATCTTTCAAAATGCGGTAAAATTAATTCCATGCTCTTTACGACAGGTAGATGCGAGATAAAATCGAGAGGAGGGATTACCTGTTGCGGAAACCTGGGCAAGGGCAGCCAAGCGGCAATCTTTCGTCGAGTTTCGCGGGAAAAGCTACGGTAAACGATTCCGATCAAACCGATTACGAGAAGGATGAGGAGAATGATGCTGGGCCACGACCAAACGGACTGGGCCGCGGATTCTTCCTTGACGACGTCGTGTTGGGCGTAATAAGGCGGCGAATAAAACGGATTCGGATAGTGATACGCCGCGTACGGATCGTACGGAGGGAAGCGCGGATAGGAAGGAGGAGGATGAAACGGAAAAGCAGCGGGATGAGGAGCCTGTACCGCGGGATGCTGCGGATTCCTGTCGGGATCTGAACGATGCGCGCCGCTGTAGGACTGTCGGGCACGTGTCGCACACATTAGCGATCCTAACGCTCTTCAGCGGATTTCGGAGAATACTTTTGCATCATCAGGTGATAATTTAATTGAGGACAAACAGGTAATTTTAATCGTGCGAATCTTTCCAAACAGGTTAAGCGAAAGAATTGACGCTTCCGCTCCGAAAACTGACGAACGGATTTTTGATTGTTGATGCATATTGATGCTCTGTTCGCGTCGCACTTTGGCTTTTTTACGGTTAAATATTTAAAATAGCAATAATTTGTGGCTTGAAAGAGCAAAAAGCGGAAAATTTATTAACATTCTTAAGACAGGAAGCGCGATTTAAAAGCGAGGAAAAAATTATATGTAGAAAATCGTAATTGTGTAATTCACTCACTTTGTGACTGAGATCCATCACATCTTCTAAAGATACGTCGCTGAACACATCATCTGTAGTATCATAGTTGGAACCCATTCCCGAACCGTTGAAGCTCCCACTACGATAAAGCTGGCTGTAAATATATATCAGAGAACTCCATTAGAATTCCTTGAAGGAATGACCTCTCGAAGTTTTAAACATAAATATTTATGTACAATAATCAAGAGAGGTATTTTAAAATTTATTGAAGAATGAAAGAAAAATCGAAAAATATTGTCCTAATTAAGATATTTTTTTAATTTGTAGAAAGAAAAATTTGTTAGAAACGGGAAAAAATAATTTTCTAATTGGAACACTTCTTTCAAAACAACAATATCTTCCTCTTTCATTATTAATGCGTTATTAATGTTTTCATTCATGAATGGATAAGATACGTAATCCGAGTAACAAATAGCGTGGAAGGAAACGCGAATATTGAGGTATCGCCGAGGCATAGAACATGAATAACGTAACAGAAGCACGCCCACGCTTTAGAAAGTCCGTCGATTCGAGTTCCGTGAAAGGAGCGATTGCGAGGATTATTAACACTGATGCAGAAGCATCATCCTACGGCCGGCGTAAACTCTTTTGTCCGGGTTACTCTTTTCCTCGTGCGTGCGTGGATTAATTAAAACGCGAGAGATAGCAGAAAAAAAGAACTATTTCCGAGGCACACGTACAAAAGCGCCAGACAAACACCGATTTCCTCAAATGCTCACAGTAAAATTTCAACAGCGTTCAAAACTTTAATTAGTATCGTTTAAAAGAATACAAAATTTTATTTTTGACTGAATTTCTCTAGGTGATATTTTTTCTCAAAAATTATTAAATTGTTAAAAACTTATGTGGATTAATTTCAATTTATAGACATTGCTGTATAGATATCAAAGTAGATTCTTACCTCGCTAATGCATTAGTGCTGAGTCTCTTTCTGGTCGAACTGTAAGCAATTATGAAAACATTTTCCTTATCGTTCATATATATTTCAGTATTATTAAAGGATGTTTATTTATAGTTCACTTTCGAGTGAGTTCCATTGCGTTCCCAGCTCATGATCACGTGGCGCTATATTTCACGGCCAATGCAGCTTTGATCATAAGCCAAATCATGGCGTTTATAAACGGAGCCGCGTGCAATTGCGGTATATATACATTAATATGTATGTATACATAAATATTCATAGATATACACATCAATACCGTAAACAACTTTCGATTTTTACCGAGTGGCAGATCACAAGCGTTATTCAACGGAGACAAAGGTTGTTGCTAGATAATGCAATGGAATTACTCTCTTACAATTAAACCCAGTAGGCTAAGCTCGACTAATTACCACTTAACTCTATAAATGGAATATATAAATTATATGTTATATAAATTACATAAATTATCTACATGTCATATTGCTAAGAAAGTATGTGCTTTCTCTTTATGAAATTTTGCGACGTTTCTAACACGTTATAAAATTATAGAAATCTAAGCAGAATATTTCGCTATCATAAAAAAATGCTATTAATTGAACTCTCTTTCTCTCTCTCTCTTGGTTTCAGGCTGATATTTCGATTGTCGTTAACAAGCTGTAATGAGAGAGCAAGAAACGATTGTTTGAGCAACGATGTTCCGTACGAATTCGCTTCCGTTATTCCAGATAGATGGCTGAATAGATACAGGCGCTTCTCAAGAAATTTAACAAGTTCTTTATCTCAATCGGTGCATTAACATGAACCGGTTATTTAACATCTTCAGTCAGTCACTTTCCCACGAGACTTTTTTCGCACGCCGCAACGGCCGGGACACGCGGCGGCATCATCGTCATTGTCTCGTCTCGTCGCGCTTTTTAAGAACTAGCAGCGGAAATTCCCTTTCCGTCGGGAAATTATGCGTATGTACCTACACGACTATCTACACATGTTCTTCATAGAAAACGCATTATTTTCTTACCAAGGAGGCGTTCTCCGCAACGACGTACGCAACCAGGAATGCCTTCCGACAGTGGAGTCCGGACTTCTTGGATTTCTACAAAATCAGAGTACAGCAATGTAATAACGAGTGCTGCGACGTCACTCTGTGGAATTTTTTTGCGACGCAAGCTATATATTCGCAATTCGGAGTTACGCAAGACTATTTCAAAATAAGCACAGGATGATTGATAACCGTCGTAAGAGGAAAGGTAAATTGCTTGTGTAATATTTTACTACATTGAGATTCATATATTATATATAACACCTAACATATTTAATTTATTACACGATTTATTTAGTCAGAGATAAAGATTCTTCTGAAATATTGTTGAGGGAGCTTTTTACAATAAATTATTTCTTTTTTACTTGGCATTTTAAAATAATACAGAATATATTATGTGGCAATCAGAAACAGCTTGTAACTGTTGTAAGTTAAAGTGTAAAAGCTTGTGTTACAAAAAAGCGCAATGTAATAACAAATCACGTCACTATCAAGAATCCTTTATCGCATAACACAAGCAAAGCAGCTTTTAAAAATACATTTCCATTATTATGTAACTCGTGTGACTCGCGCACACACAGATGGCAAGTCAGCCGGTATTGTTCCAAGGTAATAGACATTGTATGCAGCATTGCTCTTACGTAAACTCATCCACCGTGATATGCATTCGGGTCTGTTTCGGATTATACTAGATTTTAACGTTTTCACGTTTCTGCGTATACATTCAGCTTAGGAAATAACCCGCTACATTCCGCGACTAATGTTACGTATCGAGCGAATAACGGCAGGAAGCAATTGACATAATAAAAGGCCAAGCTTTGCCTACATTAAAGTTGTATATATATATAAAACGATTCCTCATATATTCAAATATTCCAATATTCTAACATCATTGCAATCCCGTTTTAACACACAGATATTCTCATCAAGAAATTTAAATAACTTAAAATAGAAAAAAATGAATAAATGAAAGAAAATATCAAAAAGTAGCAAAACTCAATCTGCCACTTTTTGATAATTATAATTAAATTATATTTTTAGATCATTTCTTTCTCAAATTCTATTAAAATCATTTTCTTTTTCAACACCAGATTATTTGTGACACTGCATTTATTAATTTTTTATTAAAATTTTTATCTTATTGATTAAAATTACGTTCGATTTCGTCATAACACAATCTTGGATCTTTTGCAGAGCATCGTTGAACCTACCTGTGAGAACCGGTACCAGTCGGCGAGGGTGCCGAGCTACTGCCGCCCGGCGACTCTGGACCGTCGTCGCCGACGAAATCACCTTCCACGGAGCCGAAGCCCTCGTAGCTCTCCTCGTCGTGGCACCCAATCTTGATGGTGGCAGTGCCAGTGGTCGCGGCTTGATGATCCGGGCTCGCGGAGTAGCGTTCGGAGTCCGATATATTTGAGCTGACAAGATTGTGCAGGTCGACCGACATCGACAATGACGGCGGTCCGCTTTGGTTCCACTCCTGGCCGACGACAACCCCGTTCGTCGTCGCGCGGTCGTCGTTATTGCGCGATGCCACACCGTCGATCGCGCCGCCGTTAGCGGTGGATGTAACGTTCGCGCTGGACGTGCGGGAACTCACCATCCTTCGTCACCCGGGGCCGTCACTCGGGCCCCTGCGAGGAGTCCGCGCGACGCGACGCAACGTGGAGCACGCGCCGACGTAAAGGACGCTCTCATCCGCCGCCTCGCTTCTCCCTGAAACACCACGTCGTGAGTCAGACCCGAGGTATGCCAGGAGCGCGGTCTGCTTCGAGACCAACTAGCGGTGCAACATGAGAGAGAAAGAGAAAGGGACAGAAAGAGACGAGTCGAGTCGAGTCGAGTCGTTGCCCGCGAAGAGCTTCTCCTCCCTCGTCCTCCGACCAGGAGTCGGGGTCGAGGTGAACTTGTACACGCAATCCTTTTTACATACAATTTGTTTCGAGGAAAACGACGCGTCGAGTTCTGTCCCTTATTCAAATAAACAAAGAGCAGAAGCGAAAGATACTCGGAAGATCTTATTCTATATATTTTACATAACACGTTCATTGCATTAAACACGTTAATTAATTCCAGAAAGTGCGCAGCGCAGGAACAACGCAATTCAATTTTGAAATAAAAAATTCTAGGCGATTCAAAGAAAGTTATAAGATATCTGGATTCTTTTTCCCATGGCTTCTTTTGCTTTATAATGCTGATATCGATTGATAAACGTTTGTTATATGCTAACAAGATAATGCACCCGTGCAGAACGGAAGGATGGCGAGTAATGGCGAGATTTCACGATATCTCAGTAAACGTCGCATTTACAGTTCGACGTAATGCGGAAATAAATCACGCAAAAAGATAAAAACCTGTGCATAAAGTAAGTATCTAAGAAAATACTTTTTTTGCATTATTTGATTAATCCTTGAGAAATTAAAAACTACATCAATTTTTTCTCAGTTACATATTTTATAAATTTTCCCAAAAATGATCATTAATAATTTATGAATTGCAGAAGATCTAAATCGCCACCATTCGTTCGTCAAATTTAAGAGACCTGACCTGTTTCATGTTCTTTCTCGCACAATGCTTGCTGATCCATCGACTAGCAAATGACTCAATCGTTATACTAATGAGGCAATGCAACTCCGTAACTGATTGGAAATGACGGCGATATCTCGTGATATCTCTCAGAGCATATTAAACGTGCACATTCTAGAGACGCGGAGTAGGAGAAAAGCGTGAGAACTGCAGACGGCGCTGTCACGGTACAGTGAGTGGCAAACCCGCGAGAATCGCGCCGAAGGAGAGAATTACTCGTTTCGATGAATTATTTACGATATCCCACGTTATTACGCGGTTGGGAAATATTTACTCGTCTCTCCATACCGTTCCGCGTGACTCACGACTTCATTGAGCTTCGAAACATCAGAGAGAGTAAACACCGTTATTTAGCCGAGGCAACTTTCGACAGGTAGGAGCATTCGTGCAGTAAACGTATGCGAATCCTCGTTAAAATTGAAAGACGCGGTAGGTACAAACACGTCTCTTATCGAAATCGTTAAGAAATCGTGATGCGACGCGTTTGTGATGTCTTTAGACACATTAGTCAGAGAAACAAAACGGTTCTTACTGTTTGACGCAAAACCGGTATCAGTGAATCAGTGATACGAAACAACAAAGAAAGAATTTTCGCTTATCGTTATTCTAAAGAGAATAATGACGAGCGTGAATAAAGATCAGATGTATAGGATGTCTGAAAATGATTATAAATATCTTAATTTTCATGATTCTTTGATTAAATTTTAAGAAAATTCAATTTTTCTTTTTATTAAACAAGATTTTACGATTAAAAATGAAAACTATTTGAAAACTAAATTTGTATTGTGAGAGTCTTTAAATAACAAAAACTTGAAAAACTCAAAAATTTTAATATTTTACTTTCTCAAGAATTTATCCTGCAGTTCAAGTAAAAACGTCAAGTAGATATTAATATTAAATAAAATACGAAAAAAGCGCAACAGATAATGGCTTTACTATTATTGTTTTCAAAGAAAAAATCAAACTGTCAGTAGCTGTCATTAAAAATTATGATTTCAGAGTAGCCTGTGGAATGTCAAAGATAAAAGTTATAATGCTCTGGCGATGCAGCAATATGGATGATGGAAGCTTCGGCAGATTACCTTATCGATTGGTAAAACGGTACCACGTGCGTGACTTATAATGCATCTGCCATAAAAAGCGTCCACTAAGTTCAAAAGACTTTTTAATGTTATAATTATGTTATCACAACACCAACTTGTACAGCATGGAGAAATATTTCTCTAGACCTCTGTTTCTCGAAATGCACTTGTCTATAATTATCGATATAGTATAGTGTGTCATCTATCACAAGAGGCACTATGTTTGACTAATTGTAAGTTCGAATTTGACTACTTGTGAACTTTAGGAATTTTTATGTTCTGACAAAAAGATAAGAAACTATATTCTTTTCTCATCTTCTTCTTTCTTCTCAAAAACTTATATATTTAAATTATTTCAGTTAATGTTTAAAATGTATTTTAAATATTCATATATCCATAGCTGTATAAATATTTTAATTGTCTAAAAAATTATTATAGGTTTTGTAACAAACAAATTATTTATTTTTGAAAAAAATTTATAAAATTATACAAAATGCGTTTAGTTCTGTATATATGTATCTTATCTATCTGAAATAATAAAAATATGTTTCTAAAAAGATTTCAGAGTAAGATGTCTGGCAAAAGAAAATATAATATTAAAAGGAACGAATCATATTTAATGAAGATCAATCGAATTGACGTCAAAAAATGTCTCTAATCGAGGACGTTGACGCTGAGGAACGAGGATAATCAAAAATGAAAGACCGAGTCGTGCGATTGTTATAAAAGTATTATTCATAACAATTAATCAAAGGTGCGGCAAGAGAGGACAACGTGATGTCGTCGCATTACAACAATCATGGATTGGAAATCGAAATCGGATCAAGGGGATTCGCGCATCATGCGTAACGCCGCGTATTACGGTATGCATATTATACATTTATTTCCACAAAAATATATCGGATTACTGACTAGAAATCAATTGCGTACTGTGTACATTCGCTCTCTAAATACTTTATTTGTATATTTACATACAGTAGTCGCTTCGTAAACTCCAAGTCGATATCTAATGCAAAAATAAGTGATGACCTAATTCAGAGTATTTAAAAAAAGTTATGACTTGACTCAGAATATTGAGCGAAAAATAGTTATACATAATTCCGTGACGGAAAACTGTATATTTTAACAAATGCTAAGCATTAGGTCTTATTTATCAAGAAAATTCAAGTCAACAGCTCACTTTCTTTGTCGATTTAGTTTTCAGTTTTAAGCTAAACTCATTTGGAATTATTATTTAATTAATTAACTCATTTCTGCTTAAATCCTTGAATATTTTAATGATTAAGTTTATATATAATTTTCTCAAGACCACTGCTTAATTGGAATTAACTCACTTTCACCTTTAATATTAATAACGCAAAAAAAAGCAACAAGTGATTTATCAAATAAAATTAGTAACCAAAGGCATGCGCCTCTTATGTTAGTAAAAACATGCAAATTCTTCCTGGCGCTCAAAGGATTAACGCCTGCCTGATTTATACACGTCGGTTCACGCTGTTGTTCAACTTGACACGCGGTGAGATCGGCCTACAATCTCGCACCGTAATCTCGCTTAGCATTTATTACGAGCCACGGTCGGGCTATTTACCAAAGCACGCGTCGAGAGAGGACCAGCGTTTCGGTCTCCAGGCACTTGTCACTCGGAACGGTATGCGTAGACGCGTTTCAAATCACGGAGCCGGGATTCCAGTCCGTCTATTTGGAGCGAGCTCAAAAGCGCGAACGGGGGAATATATTTAACGTACGTAAGAATTTTTTTTTTTTCGATATTTTCAACCTTTATTCTAAAGATGCATGGATGGTTCGGGATTCACGTCCTACTTTGTTTTTGACAGAATAAATCTTGTCTGAAACAAATCAACTCTCTAAATATATTCTGGTTTTCTTTGGTCGTTTTTGAGAAACTTTCATGATATTAACTTTGAAATTACGGTTTGCTTTTATTGGTCCAACCAGGTTTTTTTTTTATTACTTCACGCTCTTTGCAAAGTAAAAATTCCTAGTTTCTTGTATGTTACATATTTCTAATGTAAAGTAACTTTCGCCAATTAAAAATACGTTTCAAACCTCTATTCACGAATTACTTCACGAATTATTTCACATTTAGTGATCAAATAATGTAGTAAAAATAAGACAATATATAAAATTTCCTTTTATTTTAATAAAGGATACAATATTAAATTGCTTTTTTTATTAAAATAATATATTTCTAATATATGCCGGCTTTTTTTCAGGCCTCACAATGGACATATTCACGAAACAAACACAGTTAAAAAATTAAACGCTAGACTAGACTGAGCGAGCACGCTCTATTTCCAAACGGGACACGCTCGTATTGCACGCACGCAAAATTAACGACTCCTCAAGGATACATGTGCATGTATATTACAGAAAGCAATATTGTTATTAGGACGATCACAGAGGTTTGTACAGTGGAATTTACAGTAACAGCGCGAAGCGTCGTTAAATACACATTCTCATTTGTTCGTACATTCACGCGACGTCAACGGAAGAGAGCAACAGATCTTTAAAACGTGTCTCTTTCTCTCGTCAGCAGTAAAGTCGGCTTTTCAGACATAACAATTTTCATTGTTAACGGCACATTTTTTTACTAACGTAAGGCAAATTTTTTTAAACAAGAATATTCAGACGTTAATAATTCACGATTCAAGATAAAATATTTTTTGTGAACTAGACTTCCTTCAAAGAGCAAAACTATGTTCTTATTTTAATATAAATGGAGTTGATTTTAGGTCAATTGCAAAAATAATGTCAAAGACTGGAGAATCGATTTCTTTTGTCAAGATAAAATCGTCCAACTGATCAAAGGATTCTCCATTGCGGGTCATCATTTACGGTAGTAGGTCGCCCTGTCTAAGCGGCTTTTAGTTCTCCGGAAGCGCTCGGGAGAAATTCTTGGTAATTGACTCACCTTATGCCGATCGTGGTGCAGCACAACACAACAGTGGGAACGACAGGAGAGCGGTGTGTAAAGAGCCGCAATAACTCTAACACCTGTGTCCATGCACGACAGCGGCCGACGACACGACGAACGGCAAGGCGACACGACGACGTGACGCTGTTCGAGAACGGGGAAATAACGAAGGAGAGAAGCGGGACCAACGCGCGGCGGACAGGTAACCGAGGAACACGCTCGATCGGGATAACGGTGCGATCGGCGGCGAACTGAACGTAAGCACACGGACGCGGAGTCGCGACGCGAAAGCGAAGGAAACGCGATCGGACTCCGATTGGAGCCACGGTGGGCACGCATGCGCGGTTCCGCGAAATGTTGTGCACCAGCAGCTGAATGTGTAGGTACGGATGGACGAGGTGAGTACACGGAGGCGCGTACAGGTGTGCGTCACGGTCGTACCTGCAGGTACGAGAAAGCACCAGTGTCGCTCAACCGTGTCGCCGCGTCGCCGGCCGATCACTCGGTGGGAGTCAATGCGAGCGTGCGCATTTGATACAGAAGCGACCCGTGTTGCTGACCTACCTGGAGGAACCATGACCTGTACAGATTTAGGCACAGGTATACATCCCTATTGGATCGAGATAACGAAGGATTTATGACAATAGCAATCTTCTCCAGAATTTCTTTCTTTAGATAACTGGAAAGATTTTCGTTTCTTCTACTTGAAAGAAAAACGATATACCTGTAACTTTACCACTTCCGATCGAATATATCGAAAAGAACCAGTTGTCTATTTTGTGCTGCTTATTTTTTTGTAGCTCATAATAACCGCGACGTTGAGCTCTATATATATATTTTTTTTTATTTTTATCAATCGGTTTTGTATGGAAAAAATAAATAATAAACGACTTTTACAGATCGTATTCAGAATCGTTCTTTGAAAAATAGAGATTCCTTATTCATAAATAAAGATTCTTTATTTTTCGAAAAACGGCTTTTGAATACTAAAAGAGCCCGTTTAACGCGATAATTAAGTCTAAAAGATAGTTAAGTATTCGCCGTCTGTTCGCCGTCAGAAGACTTTTTGTAGACCTCCTTGTAAACGAGCTCCTGCATCTGCATCCTGAGCAGCATCCTACGATCGGCCGGCAGTGTCCTGATATGCGGCAGCAGGCTCATCAGGAAATAGTAGTTGTCGTCGAAGCGATTGCCCTCAAGCGGATCGACACCTACGTGGCCAACACCGGTGTCGCTGTCACTCATGAGGACCTGCTCGGGCGAGATGTTTTGCAGCATCATTTCGTTCTCCGCCAGATTGTCAGTGACGCCCTGGAACTCCAGATTGTCGAAGCTCTCCTCAGGCTCGCGTTTCACATCCACCGTGCCGCGCCGGCCGTCGCTGCCGTCTAGTTGATGGTGAACGCTACCGTCGCCGGCCATCGACAACAGATGATCGGCGATCGTGTCGCGATCGTCGAGGCCGCCATCGATGTCAGACATCGGCGCGCCGTTCTCCACCTCGTTCTCGCTCGGGTCATCCTCCGTCTTGGCGACGCTACGTTCCCAGATTGGCGGCCGTGGAAGCATCTGCTCCTTCAGGAACTGCAGGCTTTTGAAGTGGATCCATACCGGTCGGATCCGGTGGAACTTGCTTTTACGGTATACCTGATCCTTTTTCAATTCGGCGCGAAACGTGTCGCGCAAGCCTTTCCACTTTGCTTTTAGCATCGGCTCTGCAAGCAGATAACAAAAGATCGTTTTGCAGATGTGATAGCGGATCTAGAAACTCGTCGACGCTCTAAATCCGGATGTGAATCGATGATGCACGTATACATTCCAATGCAATGCAGAGAGATAAAAATATTCTGCGTGGTGTAAATATATATGTCACATTTTATTAAATTATTTTTATTGATTTGACTGTATTAATTTAATATTCGAATTGGAAAATATTAATAGAATGTATGTTTCTAGGTTTCTGCAAAAAACCCTGTGGATATATGTTTTTATTGATACCGTAGGGATCTGATAACACGCGAGATTATTGACTGCATTCGCGCGCGCGCATCCGCGCATGTGTGCGGCCCCGAGCGAGTGCTTGCGTGCGTACAAGTTGAAATTTGGATCAAGGTTATGATCGAGATATGACGAAGGATTACAATCTACTGTACAAGATCAGAAAATTGCAGGTAAAAAGATTACGATTGATATATCGATACAGTGATCGTGATCGATACATTAATACAGTCATAAAACATTTAAGCCGGTTCATGCGAAAAGTGAGGTTAGATTTGCTGTTGTAAATAACAGTACGTGACAGAGTAATATAAATTGTCTTTAGAATAATATGTGAAATAATTGAAATTCAGTGAAAAAATTGAGATAAGCCCACAATGTTTAAAAACAAAACTTTAAATTGCATTATAAAATACAAAGAATTATATACAATGTGTGTGTCAAAGCATATGAAAAAATGACGTCTTAAACGTCTTTCAGATGTTTTTAAGACTGTTGCCTAGGTATTCATTCATAAAGGAATCACAAGGAGAATCATTCTTTTTTTTTGTAAAATATAATGTTATTTGATTAATTGCAAAAGTTGCAAGATAGGGAGGTATATAATTTGAAGGGGCTATTACTAGATTTTTTATTCAATCTGTGATTTTTTTTCTATCAACGTTCTCGGATTGCTTAAAGTTCTAAAGTTGCATTGAGAAATTCTTCATGAAATAAATGTAAAGTAAATGTAAAATATTTCGTTCGAAGAGAAATTATGACGTTTATAGAAATTAATAAATTAATTTTCAGTGTTTTTGAATAATCAAGGATTTTAGAATGACATTTTAGTTGTGACATGAACAGCTGATTAAATTGATAAATATTCCGTAATAGAGTTTCATAAATCCACTAAGAAGCAGTTTATTCTGATTTTATAAGACATCGGCCTTATCTCGGTTAAACTCGATATCACGATATTCCGGTCATGCCGCACGAGTCGCTCTTATCCTTGCGGAAGGAGAGAACAATCGCGCGAATAAGTCGACGCATGGGCGAAAGACGCGGGCGCCTGGGCGGCGCGTTGCGTCGCGTCGCGCGTGCGAGCAGACCGCATTGCGTTCGCTAATTACGCTTTCCAGCAGCCGGGGGTGAAAGAACACGTACTGGGAAGATTGAATATCGCCGCGATCTCCATCCAGACGCGGTTGGTCACCTCACGATTGTGATAAGAGATGTGCCTTTGGTTCCAGAGCGCCGGCCGCTTGTACACCTCGGCGATCAGCCGATTCGCGTCCATCTTCACCTCGTCCCGCATGCTTCCGCTTTGCGCGCGGTATCCCGGCGCTCGCGAAACCCCGGGACGGCGAGGTACTCTACGACGGCGGTGAATGATAGCGGACCGACGGGAGCAGAGTACGGGCGAATACTAGCGCCGGGATAGCGATTAGCGCGCAGGACGCCGGCGGGTAACGATCGATTCGCGTTTCGCCCTCGTCTCGCCTCGCTAGCGCTAGCAACCGCGCTCTCCCGAGTACCTTTTACCCTCGCCGCCCTCGCCCTCATCCCTCGGCCGCGTCCGCGCCCTTAATATTTCGCCTCGCCTCGCCTCGCCTCGCCTCGCGCAAGCGAGTCTCGGATTCCAGCGGCCGAAACCGCCGGAGATCTCGTTCCGTTCGCTCTTCGTCCTGCCGTTCGTTCGTACGAACATCGACAAGATACGCTGATTCAGCGCAAATTGAGGACGCGATAAATTCGCGCGTTTAATTCTTCCAGACATATACACGCGTCAGGCGACGTTCGCTGGAAAAATCTCGAGCTGTTGCTTTGTTTACTTAGCCTTATCGCCAAAGTTCGTTTTATAAATAACGATAGATGCATCCCGCGAAACCAACGCGCGAATACATTTGCGCATTCGACCACCGACATGCGCATGCATTTTACGGCGTTCGCGATATCGCAGGATTTCACCACCTCCCTCCCCTCCCCCGCGCGAGTAAAAGTCCTGAAACTCGTCACTTTATTCCGCTTCATCCTTTTATTGAGAACTCGCTTTTAATAAAGACAAGATTAAAATACTTGCAATGATACTGTAATACAATCATCTTGACTCGCTTGTAATCCGCAGCGATAATGGAAGATATGGAACTGATAGCGCAAGGAGCGGAGGCGCGTCTGTATAAAGGACTCTACTTGGGGAAGGCGACCCTGATGAAGGAGAGATTCGTCAAGAACTATCGACATTCGGAATTAGACACGCGCCTCACCAAGGATCGCATCCGGGCCGAGACCCGTGCCATTATTCGGGCAAAAGCCGCAGGTAAAATTGCGCGCGCATCTCCGCGTTCGAGAGAGAGAGTTCATGTTTATTTTATTTTCAAAGGTATACCGACGCCAGCCCTGTACCTGGTGGACTCGCACCGACGCAGGATCTATATGGAATACGTGGAGAACGCCACGATATTGAAACAATTTATAGACGACAATATTGCGGGAAAAACGGATGTGGATCACCTGTTGGATTTCATAGGACGCGGATTGGGCACGCTCATAGCTAGAATGCACTCCAAGGATATCATCCACGGCGATCTGACCACGTCGAATATACTGCTCAAGAACGATTGGAATGAGCCGCCTTGCGATAATCAGTCCGAACGTAGGCAAACAAATCCTTCGCAATGACGAATTTCGAATATTTCGAATTAAACGTTTACAATAAATGAAAACTTTCGTTTATCATATTTATTATATGTATTGATGTGCGTCTGAGATGAATAGTTATCGATAACGTTGTTGTCAAAGCATCACAATATTTTTCTATTTGTTACAAACGATTCTGTTGTACTTTTGTTATTTTCGTATACTGTAATATTTTTTTCTTTTGTTGTAGCCGAGACACACTTTGTAATGATAGACTTTGGACTAGCACGAGTGGATTCCACGCTGGAAGATAAAGCGGTTGATTTGTACGTTCTTGAGCGATCGCTGCTTAGCGCACATTCCGAAGTGACAACGCTGTTCTCCCGTATTTTTCAGTCTTATCGACAACAGTATCTGAGCAAACAACAATGCACCCAAGTACTCGCTAAATATAGACAGGTACAGGCGCGAGGACGTAAACGCTTGATGGTCGGTTAAGAAAAGCGAAGGATTTTCAAAGATTGCGATTGCAGTTCAATAGATGTAAACTATACATAAATATATGCGAACAGGAATGAAATGTATTGATTGCAAACTGAATGGTTGATTAGGATAAGATTAAAGTACATAATATGAGAAGGTAAGAAGATCTTTATACAGATAAATTATATTTGTATGTAACAATATGTAAGAAATCCAAGTATATATATGCAAGGGAGTAAGTTTACATACGTATGAGTTTGGCAACGGCAATCGATCTGTATGAAAGGCTATTGCTCTTTGAATCCAAGGTTTGTAATAAATCAGTCATAATGTAAACCGGAGTATATAATAATCCAAGTCACCTACAAATAACAGCATATATTTAATGCGATGCGCTTGACAATAATATTGATTCTGCTGTGTTTCAAACTTACCAAAAAACCAGCAAAGGACGTCATAAATCCTTCCTTCGTCAATTCCCACATACCACCAAATTCTTCCTCATCGATTTGTTGGAAACTGCTAAAGTATAAATATGTAATTCCCGCGTTTACTACTACAAATCTGAAATGCAGAAATCATAACAGTGTACTCGGGAGTATTAACAGTACGTTATTTTAAAAGTATGTCATTAGTAAAAATGATTTAGTATGCAAAAACCAACAGACGTTTGTCTACTCACAACAATAGAGCTATAAAACCTTTTAAAGGTATAAGGCCCCATCCTATACCGACAATAATACCGATCGCTTGTCTTGCCCAATATATTACATCAAGAAATTCTTCCTGCAACGCAAGACAATTAAAAATAAGTAAAGATATTAGGCAAAGGTAAGTTTTTTTATTTCATGTTTAATGTGGCGTCAACCTCGTAAAATTTATGGAGGTGTTTTTGATATTGTTACATCCCTTCCTGAAACTGTGTCTATATATCTTTGTTTATTAATTTCAAGTAGAAAACAAAGGCGATTAAAGGATTCTTGGTTATGTTTACCTTGTCCGGCCATTCGGAGTTCGCCGTGATCGCACGTGTCCATACGCTAACCTCGCACTTGCCGCCATTCCCATTTTTCTCCGTCTTCGTACGCGACATCGCAACACGCGTGTCTCGGAAAGCCCACGATTTCTATGCGAATGTGGCACTGACTACACGATCATCACCACGTCAGCGAGTACAACTTGCCGTTATTTCAGAATGCAGAATATATTTCGCACTCTTCTTTTCGCTTTGCAATCGCAGCTGATGGCAGCAGCTGACAGTCTTATCACCTCTGATTAAACACCTGTTCTCTTTAGTTGCACTGCGTTGAACTCGGTGCACTCGAGACAGAATAGCTGGTAGAAATAAATCGGAACAGCATTAGAGAGACATGTTCCCGTAAGAAGTGAACAAAGTAAACTACTAATTAAAAATATTTAAATTCAGCGCTAAGTTTTATGATTTAAGAAACCACGGTTCCAAGAAATAACATAACTAAATTTTAAAATATTTTTCCGTACAATTTTATATCCATTTCTAGTAGTACTTTTTCAAAAGTCTAAAATTAATATTTACAAAGTTTCTGCTCAAATAATATTCACTTTACGAACCATATAATATAAAATAATTAACACCTTATTTAATTAATATAATTATTACTTACTAAGATAATTAACGTAAACGTTTATTTTTCTAGAAATAATGCGTAAAGGAAGATTCTTACCGCAAAGGATGCCTTACAAAAATCCGAGAAATTGCCGATCAGTCGGTATTACGAGAATATGTTATTAGGAATATATGATGCAACAAGAGGTAAACGAAGTAAAGTAAGCTGCTAATTTAAATATTTAAATTCAGGAGCCAAGTTCACGATATGAGGGGAACAGAATTTAAAGAGGTGAAACATAACCAATTTAAAAATAGCGCGAATTTTAAAGTACACTTTTTTATATTAATTTTTATTACTAATAAACATAGTTTTACTAGATTTACGTTTAAGAATGACATGCATATATACTTCACGAAAGATATAAGCTGGTTATATATCTAGTATCTTGAAAATTCATGAATCACTCACGTGTACGCGACGCAGCGCAAAGTAAGGTTAACTGCTTGTCAGCTGTTGTCAATAGTCATCCTTCCTGCCTTCCTCATCAATTTTCATGGCATTTACCTTTAGCTAGAGCTTTTTTTTATAATAAAATATAGGAACAAAATGACAGTGAGTATTGCAAGTCTTTGTATTTGATACTTTTATTGTTGGAAATGTTTATTATTAATTAAGCCATGCTTCCAAAATATGTTTCAATAGTTATTAAAGCTACTTCATTATAAATTCACTTAAAAGTAACATAGATTTTTTCTGCATGTTGTTATTATCAACGGCGATCTGTAAATTATCTGTAAAAATAATCTTACATCTGAATAATCCGATTATTTTTTGCAGACGAAGAAAGGTAAGGTACTGACCAAGGGTGCGAAGCAGATAACAGAGGAGAATACCTCTACATTGAGCTTCTACACCAATATGGCCCTGGGTGCAATGGGAGTTTATTTCGCCGTGATGATGGTGCTGTTTGAGTTCACAACATTAACAATAGTAAGTTCTGACAGCTGTTGAACAATGTAGCTGTACATGAAACTTCTTAACAACGTTTGTCACGTTATCATTACAGACTCTAACGGCATTTTCTACAATTGTATATATAGGAAGTTATCAATTCATGTCATATATGGCTCGTGCCAAATATTCAGAGTCTGGTCAGCTCCTGGACTCTGGTGTTGATCTCAATATGGAAGGTGGTATAGGAGAGTAAGTGTCCACTGCAATAATCTTATTAGCATTATATTCTCTGCGATTTTTTATTGTTCATATTATATAACGTATTGTTTTTCTATCCAGACATGTTAAAGACTTAATCATACTGACATCCGGAGTACAAATTCTATCCCTTGTTTCAAATTACTTCTGGTTATTGTGGCTCCTGGTGAGTACTTCGATAAAAAAATTATTTATATTATTCTTTTTATTCAATATTACTTAAAGTCTACACATGCATAAAACTTTTGACATTTATTTTATATAATTATTATTTAAATATTATTACTTAAATTCTAAAGGTACCATTGAGAGGAGGCTGGATGCTCTGGAAGCAGATTTTAGCACCATGGTTTTTTACTGAACAGCCACAAGAACAACAGCCTGAAGTAAAACGCAAGAAAGTGAAACATTATGCAATGCGACACTAAGAAAGTACATTAGACATCGCAGTGCGATATGGAAATTCCATTGTACAATTTATTTAACTGGATAATGAAGAACAAACTCAGAAAATACGGGGGAGAGAAAGAACTTCAGGCTCTTTTGATATCTAAGGTATAGGAAGATGATTCAGCATTTAATAAAGTAAATTTAAAATCAAACGAGACTTTAAGATTTGCGCCGTTTTATTACAAACATAAATAGAAAAACATTTCTAGGAAAACAATAGGGTTTAAGAAATCGCGAACTAGAAAACAGATTTTGTCTTTACTGGAGCATTCCAAGTAATTAATTCTGATCGATAGATCGCATTGACAATTAATCGCGACTAGAATTAAAATACTCTTGTTATTTAATATCTACGGATTTGTTCCTATAAGTTGAAGACAATGCTAATAATCATTAGGATATTAAATATAAATATATAAACGTATTCATGTGAACAGAGACATTAATATTTTAATAATTGTTATCATCGATTTTATGACTTTCATAGGACTAAAGCCGTAGAAATTGATAAAAAGTGTTCCAGCGTGTTCATTTCTTTATATTCCTCTATTTTCGTTAATTATAATGTTACAAATGACATCACAAGTGCTGCGTTTTTTTAAAATCTTCCATAATGCATGAAAATTTAAGTATAATAATGTGGTGAACAGGTGCCTTCAAGAAAATGCAAAAATTCACAACACGTATTCAGAAAAATATGAAAGTCGAACCAATGGAGATAATTTATGCATATTGTATCTTTAAAAGTCCACCTACTTTCCTTCTATTGCAAATGAATTCGATTAAAATTAGGTTGTATCAATCAGGAATATGTATTGGTTATTTATTCAACAATGCAAATATGTAACTCATGCTATTTATTGAATTTTGGAAGTTGACAAATCGATGCATCACAGTTTTATTTAAATGTAAAAATGTACTGTACTTTATAATTAAATCTTTAATCTTTACTTGGGAATGAAAACTTAAGACTACGGAAGTTAGCAATCGGTTTTATATAGTTATATATTTCGTATAGTTATTTATATTAATCGTTGGACTCAATTTTCTATACATGAACCGCAAAATGTATAGTGCGCGATGAAACAATCTTCTCTTTAAAATTAGGCCAACGTTTGTACTTCATGTCTAGCGTTAGTTAAACGCATCCATTTAATTCACAGCTTTCGTTTTGGCTTTCGCGAATGCACGCTTCTGTTCAGTGAAATTTATAATTAATTTGTATAAATTAAATTACCTAATTATTTGAACAAATGTCTATCCACGAATCTATATTAGTCACATGTGACGAATTATTCTAGAAGAAAATTTTTTGGCAGGAAAAACAATAGGACGATCATGTGCTGGCAGATAGAAGCATAAAGAATTGCAGAGTTTGCTTGCTCAACATTGACTTCACTGAACAGCAGTGTACAGTACCGCCAAATTATAGAAACTAGTCAGTTTATGAAATTGCCTAGATTCTACATTCTGTCGATAATATTAATACTTCGCAATTGGAACAACCAATATCACTTTGTAGCTGGGTGTTAAAAAAAGTCACTTTTTAAGTCGATTATTTTATAGAAATATAATTTCTTTCTGCTCATTTAATTTCAAATCAGAGAAACGTGTGCAATGCCATTTATTTCCTTTTATTTCCCGGCTAGACATATGGTCTGTTCCAATTGATTATATATTGATAAGGATGTATATATACATATAAAGATTAACAATTAGATATAATTGCGTGCGGTTTAAAGTATTACGAGATGCCATGGAATGTGTAACGTGGAATAATTCTCTTCAAACATTATTCGTGTCCATGCCTTTTTTCTTTCTGTAATCATATTCTGACTGATAACCTGGAAGATGATTGTGATCATGCACCCCTGTAGGCATAAAGCTCTCGGCGATCACTGAGCATTTACCCCGGCAACCACGATGCTGCTCTGCACAACGATAGTGCGATCTATTTAACAAATTAGAACGGGAAGTCAGATTGTACACGTATCCATTGTGAACCAACTGGGGTCTACCTCTGGCAGATAGTCTATAAGTCACTGGTTCCATTCCTGATTCCGTTCCTGCAAATTTATATCAGTTTTCTCTTATCGAAATTATCATATAGAATAATTTAATAATTGATGTAATATAAATATCTTACGCATCTGACACAAATGATACTATAAAATATACCTGATGGCATTGAATTTCTTTCTGTATTCGATTCATTGGATTCATTAGATAATTCGATTATTTCCTTATCGTTATTCATAGTATCACTGGCCTCAATGTCATTTTTAATATCCTTTTCACTTTTAGAATCATTCAAATCTTTCTCAGTATTTATGTCATCATCCGATAAAAGAGAAACATCGTTCTTACTGATATTTGACTTTCTAGATTGTTTAATGGAACTGTAATCATCCTCAACCGCACTTTTCTTTCTTTTTTTAGTGTTTTTCCTGGCCATTCTATGAGATCGCACAGACCTATCTGAAGCTTTACTACTACTTCCCTGTCCTTCACTTGTATCTGAGAAGACAGTTACGTCATCAAAATCGCATTGCAAATCTGACACATTGACATAATCATTTAACAATGGTATAATTTGTGCCTCGCCCTCTTCCAGGCCTTTTATCTGAAGCATCTGTGCCACTTTCAGAAAAGTAGATAAGTCTTCCTGTTTTACATTAATCTCTCCTTGATACATAAATTTCATTAAAGCTGCAATCTCAGCATATTTTACATCTTTCAGTATTATTACCGGATGCTGACAAGGATACTCCTGCAGAACAACTTCAAGTTCTTACTTAAGCACATTTATCATAAGATATTATTAAAAATCGAATTATTATACCTTGAATATATTCTTAAAGTAAGGACTACACACAGAAAGAACCAATTTGTGTGCAACTAACAATTGTCCTTCTACAGCGAGTGTTACATCAACCAAATCATTCTCACTCAAGTGAGAAAGAAAACCAGAAGTTAGATTATTGGAGAAGTTAGTCCATTTAAAGGAAAATTCTTTTGATGATAATACTGTAGCCATGTTTGTCTATAGCAAAAGTAATTTGGCGATTATTAACAATGAAATTCTTGGTAACATCTGTTCTATTAACATCTGAATTTCTTGGTAATTTTTTGAAGATTTAACAGCACTAAATATATGTGTATAGCTTGAATGAATAAATTAGGATGTAATTATAATAGACACAATAAAATATAACATTTACTGATTTTTTTTAATGAATTAATGCATAATAATTATTTAATGCAATTATTTAATTGTATAAATTGGTTATAATATTTTCATATATACTCTTTAATAATTAATTATTTTGATCTCTATGTTGTCATAAATTGAAGTATACGAAGTATAATTAACCATTTACATATAATATTAAATATTTTAGAATTCCGATAATCATTTTTGTTATCAAAAGATAATGAATGTCTTTACCCGTTCGTTAAAATGTAACTTCTTGATAACTTCTTGTCTGTCCGTGTCGTAATGCAGATACACCTATTTACGGTATGCAGCTGTCAAATATTTCTGCCATAAAAAAAAAGAATGATGATACGACTACTACTGTGTGTAGATTTTCTATAGCTTTATACAACTTCACAATATAGAATCCTTTTTGTAAATTTTTATCATTGGCTGAAAATTCCCGAGCTTCATGTTACGAAGTTAAATATACACACTAGAAAGATAGGCATCGTGATCTTGATATTCGTATGTAATGACTTAGAATTGTTGACAACTTGACATCCGTAATTGAAATATTTGGCACGTGCAAGATATTAAAAATAACGTTAAAAAATAAATAACAACTTACACTATATTAAATTAACTATTAGAGATATAATGAATCTTTCAACAATATGCTCAGAACACGACTCTAATGAGTATGTATCTAATTTCATGTGAAAATGGAACTATAATAGAACCAAGAAACGAACGGAATCGAACCATCAGATTGTCACGCGGGCAACGCAAACAAATTCTGAATGTGGATCATAAGCATCTAAAGTTTAGATGTCTGTGATTAATTGTACTCACTTATGTTCTGTCAAAGTTAAAAGTGGAAAGTAATAAAATATACAAAATGAACTCTGCTAACGCGCTATGTGGAACGGAGCCCGGCGTGATAAATCGAGACATGCTTGTTTCTTTAGTGATCGATCAGGGACCGAAAAAGGAAGCCGGCAAGCTGTTTATTCAAGATGGAATTGAATTGGACAAAGTGAAGGAAATCCGCATTCAGTTTCTTAGTAAATAGCAATAATTATATATTTATACTAGCAATGTGGATTTCTATCTAATTTATTTTACATATTGCTTTGCAGATATCCTAAATATCAATTATCTTTGGGTGTTGAAAAATCTAGTCAAGTTGACATTGTCTCACAATGTCATTGAGAGAATTGAAAATCTAGACGAGCTTATTCACTTGAAGGAACTGGACCTCTCGTTTAATCGTATTAAAATTATGGAAAACTTGAACAATTTACATCAACTGGAAATCCTACTTTTGTATAGCAATGAAATTTCTATTGTACAAGGCATTGATAATTTAAAGAAATTAATTATTTTAAATATTGGTAAAAACATGATCAAGGATTGGAAGCATGTATGTATAACTAACTTTTTTTCTTACCTTTTTATTATTTATAGTTTTATTGCTACAGGTCACATATTTGCGTGATCTCAAAATGCTTAGAAGTTTAAACACTTGGGATAATCCCTGTACCGAAATGGATGGATATTTGGATTATCTGTTTGCATTTGTGCCCCAATTACTTTATTATCAATACAGAATGATATCTGAAAGTGCACGTCAATCCGCCATCGATAAACATTAGTAATCATTAATTTTAATATAGCGAAAAAAGGAAAGTTTTAATATCTTGCTTTAATATTGTTTTATTCTTGTAGTCGTATAATTAGCAATCTCGAGGAAAATGAGGCAAAAGTTCAAGCGGAATTAGCATTACAAAAACAAATTGAAAACAAAATAGCATTATTGTCTGCATCGTATGTGGAGTACCTCGATGAAGATTATCTTTTTCAACAAATGTTTTCTCAAGATGAAGGTAGATTTTTGTCATCTTTCTTACTGCTGTTTATATAAACGTATAATTATCTGAACGTATCATTGTATTAGCTGGCAAGACATTATCCACGATAAACAAGGATACAAAGAATGCATTTGAGGATTACAAGAAGTCCTTCTGTACGATATGTTATGAATTGTATGAATATGGCTTACAGGAGCATGATAAAAGAACAGAAGAAATAAGATTGTTTGAAACTGCTGTTAATGAAGGCAAGGAAAATACACAAAACGAAGCGAGAAAGTAAGAAATAAGATAAGTTCTAAGAATTAAACAGAAGTAAAAAACGATAATCTTTAAAACTGTGATACTTATTTTAATTATGATAAATTATGTTGATATTTTATAATTAATATATCATTATATAAATGTAATTATTTTCTTTATTCTATTTAAGGACTTTAGATGAAGTACTTGAAAGAAAAATCGAAATATTTGGAAATATAAAAAACGTTATGGAAGCTTTAACACAAGAAAAAGAAGAAGAACAAAAAGAAGCTGCTGTAACGGATGAGGTCACTGCAAAAGCAAGAGAATTGTTTGATGATTTTAATAATTTATTGTCCAGGGCACGAAACCTATTAATATCTAAAGAAATTATACTGCACGATCAGATTGAAGTATGTGTGTATGACACTAATTTACAAAAAGTATCGTGGGTAGAATTAATCTAGTAATTCAACTTAGAAAAGGATGATTTGTCTTTTTCCTTAAAAAGGACATAAACGAAGTCTTCAGGAATAACATGACAGACATGGTCGAGTCGTTCCTAAAAGCCGCTGGAGAATATTTCTCTTCATTACGAAACGCACAAACTGAATATAACAACATTATGAATGAATTAGTTTTATCTTACATAAGCGGTTTTGAGGAGGAGACACCTATGCCAGCTCATCTTAAGGATCTGTGCGGAGATAACGACATTTTGACCACCACTCTTGCCGCGTCACATAATTTACATTTACAGGCAAGCATTGAAAGATTGAAAACTATTAAAATAATTGATAAATAAAATAACTGACAAATGTATATCTATGATAACAGATAATAAACGATCGAGAGGAGCGCATGATAAATCGGCTAAATAATTGGCTCAAAGATTACACTAATCAGTTAATTGAGTAAGTATATTTCCGATAAAATTTGATTTATATATTCTGAGATTTATATAGGAAGATTTCATGATCATAAAATATTTTACCGCACAGGAATGAAGATAAAAGGAATCGTCAGCAGATATTAGAAATGTCGCATTTCTTTGGATTTCAACAACAAGAATTAAATTCGCTAGGCATACCGCAACAATTAGATTTGACAGACATTGATCTAGAAGATGTTGCTATATTGGAAGATTAGTGATTAACGTGCTAGTATGCCTAACGACGTTTTGCCTTTCGACGATGTGGAATAAATTTCAAGGAAATAAACGTAAGTGTCATTTATCAGTGTAAAATATATATTTTGGTATATAAAAATCTTATTTTTTGAAATAACAAGAATAAAGGAGTAAGTCTTTTATCAAAATACCTATTTTTGCTTCTGCTTCAAATATTCGATATAAAGTTTAAGTCCAGCTTGGACTTTTGGCAATTGTGTGAATTCCACAAATGTGTTCAAATCAGCTTCTTTGTTTTCCTTTAGCCACTGTATTGAGTCGTTTCGTAATGCTAATTTGGTTGCAGCTCTTCCCGTACCTTCATTGAGAAAGATGTATGATTATTATACAAATATATACAGATTTCTGCCAAATGTAATAATGCAATAATTCTTACTGTCTATATTAGCATAGGATAAAATATAATTCTTGCACTTTTCAATCGCGTCAGCTTTATCTTTAGCAAGTTCATCCACAAGTCCAAGCTGCAAAGCCTTTTCAGGTTTAAATTGTAACCCTCTGAAATGTGACGATTGTAACATGTAAGATATTCTTTATTACATATTTATCATTTTACAATATGTAATTATTTCTTACATATTTTGTATTATTATTTATTAATTTTTACATAATTCCTTACCTTAAAAGCGCTAGTTCGGCTTGTCGATAGCCCATCAATGAGATATACATATCTCTAAACCATTTTGGAGCGACAATACCCAATTGCGTTTCGTTCAATCCCATGGTATGCTTTCCTTCAACAAAAACTCTGTATTCCGTGGATATTGCCAGCATACATCCTCCGGCAGGACTAGAACCCTATATAGTAAGGAAAAGTGACGTTTCTGTTATATTATTCTACAAATATATTGTGCATATGCGTGTGTGCAATAATACTTAAAAAATATCTGTACATTAATAGCAGTTGCTGTTGGAATATTTAGACTGTAAAGAGTTAGCCAAGTATCTTGCAATGTCTGCCAAAAATTGACCATCCTCTGTTTATCAGTATTATACATTTCCATGATATCCAATCCCGCTGAGAATACAGTTGGTAAGGACGATGTGAGTATAATGCCCTTGCTGCGATTGTTTTGAGCTTCTGACAGAGATGTTTTCAATGCGCTTAACAGTTCTGTGTTCAAACTATTGACAGGTGCTCTTGCCATGGATATAATGTCAATTCCTGTTCAACAATTGAACTTTATAAAGTAAAATTAAAGGAAAACCATTATTGAGAACAAGTTGATAAAACAGTGGTGTTATTACCAGTATCATTATCTCGTGTGGTCTCAATCAATTTTGATCCTGTGGCATAAAATCTCCTGAGGTATGCCTGTCTTCCGGCAAATAAAGTCTTTAAAACTGACATGTTGTGATAAAGTTTCAGTCTTGTTAGTAGCAAGAATTGAAGAATGCTGTTAACGTCACCAAATGAATCCTACGACTGCTGAGGCGAGCAAAATTAATATATGTTTTCTATGTATTGAATGACTTTGCACACATATACATATATCTTGATTGTAAAAAAAAAACATAAATATGTGACGTGTCAAAACGGACTAAAGATAATCGAAGAGCACTGACATTATCGACTGTCTTAGATTATTTGGTATAAATATAACGTATTATTTAACGTAACGTGTGCAATCTATAACGCGCTATTAATTTGGCAGTTTACAATTGTCTGTGGAACGATGATATCGCTTATTTTCGCAAAACTATTTCTGTGCGTTATCGTCCGTGCGTTTACAAGGTCAATCTGATTAACTGTTTCTCAATTTGCCCGCGACGTTACCCGGGAGGGCGTAACTGTGCGCGAGGAATTTTTTCAGCCAGCGATCCTCACGCGAACATCTCGCCGGTGTCCGGATTTTCTAATCGCGGCCATCGTCGCCGCCTGCCATCGCCGCTGATCATCGGTGACCGTCGTCAGGCCAATCGCGGACAGGTGCCAACATGGCTGCTACTATACTGGCTGCTCGTCCTCTCGTGACATCGCCCTTTGTCTCGACGGCGCTCTTCTAATCGACGACGAGTGAGGAGCATCCCATAATCGGCGGATCGAGAGAGAGACACTTTAGATGGAACGGCGAACTTCAATGGAACACTTCAGCTAGCAAAAATGTCAACTCGGTCGCAGCTCACGAAGGATTTAAACGGTTCGTCTCCAGCCTCGTATAGTGTTTACGTTCTCGTGTAGATCGAGCGAACTGTCATTCTCTGTACCCTTCGTCAAACAATCTCGTTTTCATCGATTACCATGCATTTTGTGCTATCTTGCATACTGCATTTCCGCGAGTTTCACTATTAATTAGCTTGTCATTGTGTCCTCTACGGTGAAAAATAGAAAGCAAGATGTGCAATTTTTGTGCTATTTCTCATTTAGCATTGTATCCCGCGTAAGATACGACTGTGTGAATTATTCATTACTTGCAGAATCGGTGAAAGCGCTACTTGGCAAGCATGTGAAAATACTATTGAAAAACGTGGTGAAATTAGAAACGAAGCAGGATAAGCTGGAGAATCGTGTTCTCGTGAGTAATTTCTTTCTCTGTCTCTCTCATCTCCATGATGATTAATAACATTTATATTAAGCTGAATTGATTTTTTTCCATTTAAGGTATTTTCGCCATGTCGCCTCTTTCTTTTATCGGCAAAAGTGCCCACAAGAGTAAGTCCAGCTTGTTTGTATTTTTTTTTTCTCATTTATCGCAACACAGTGTTAATTTTATTCTTTTATAGATCGACTGCCATTTTCATTACCTAGAAATAACGGCCATAGAGTCAAGACGAGCGAATCAGCTATGTTTGACTGTCGGAGAACGATTTTACAACTTTACCACAACCGGCGTAGGCGCAGACACTACAGAAGTGGACGCTATGATAGAGGCCTTACACACGGCGATTCGAAATATCTTTCCCACAGTACCCTTAAAGTATGTTTTGCTTACTTTAGTTAAGCAATCGTTCTCATTCATGAGTTTGCCGATTACGAATTTTGAAATGTTGCTTCCAGTTACATTATACGAAAAATAGAGGTGATACCAGCTAGCAGATTGCAAACTATACGAGGCAGCGAGTTAGCTAGAAGCACAGAGGCCACAAGACACACTGGGCCATGCGGTGGTTTTTCTACTCAGTATGCGTGCATGTGCGATTTGCACAGTGTGCCGTACAGAGAAGAAGTGGCTTGGGTGAGACATTGCTTGAGTTCGCATCGCTGATAACAAAATTATCTGCTAGTAAAATCTTATTCAAAGAGATACAAATTTTCAGGATGTCGACACGATATACCTTTCGCACGACACGAGAGAACTGAATTTGAGAGACTTTGATCATTTAGATCAGAAGGATCTGGTGCCAATTATCTCGGCCTTGGAATACAATACTTGGTTTACAAAATTAAGGGCGTCCCACCTCAAGTTGAGCCACGAGCCACTAGAGAGATTGTTACATGTTATGCGAAGGTCTTTATCTATTCAAGAACTCTATTTGGATAATCTCGGAATTAAATGGTAATAACTTGGGCTTTGTCACGAATAAAAATGTATTTCAATGCACATTTATAATGTACGAATATTTGGTTTTAAAGGGATTTCGCTCACAAGCTGTCGTTAGCTTTAATTTCTAATGCTAACACAATGCTGCAAACGATAGATCTGTCGCACAATATGATCGAGGACAAAGGTATATTAATTGATTTCAATGATTTATATTGCATCGTATTTGTAATTTGAAATCTTCATCTGCACTGCACCCATTAAACCAATCTTAATTTTCCAGTTGTTAGCCATAATTTCAAAAGTATCCTCAACAGATTTTCTTTATATTTTTTGTAGGAGCCTCTAGTTTGTGTGGGATAATAGCCAAGCTAATGCAAGGTGTGCCAATAACCATATATTTTTATTATCCCTAATAATTATACTAATATTTGTGATACGCCTTTACACATAATATAGTATTTTCTTTTCTTTCAAAATACGCACTTTTGTTTTACATTTTTTTTAAAGACTTTTTTAAGACTTTTTTTAGACTTTTAGTATTTATACTTTCATTTTGAATAATACAATATTCCAGACAATTGTTCTTCGTAATTATCGCGTTAATATACAAATAATATTATAACATATGCGATTGAAATAGTAATTTCTAGCTGTAATCATGCGTTTATTATTATTAATGTGGTATTTGAAGTCTGTGATGTATTTTCAAGGTGGTACACATCTGAGCGGTCCTATTGGCAAGTTACCTAAAGGTTTACAAAAATTGAACTTGGCTCATTGCGGGTTAACCGGGAAAGGTGTAGGCCAAATAGCGCATGCCCTAAGCTTGAACAGAAGCATGCCAACTAGTTTGCGATATCTGAATCTCTCAGAGAATACCTTAAAAGACGATGTCAATGTAAGTTTGCAAAGAATCGCAAATTGTTCTGTTTGCTTTGATAAATCGTGGGGGTTCTGATTGCAACTAAAATCCTAATATATTCTGTAATTGCAGAATTTGTGCAATTTCTTGGCGCAACCTAATAGTTTAACACATCTAGATCTTAGTGGTACGGAGACTACTTTAGAATGTGTAAGTACTTTAGAATTTATAATCTTACAACTTTGTACGCGGTGATTGTTTATATTGTCCCTTACTCTCTTTTTTTTTTGTCTCAGTTATTCGGTGCGTTATTACGAGGTTGTGCAACTAATCTAGTCCACCTGAACGTTGCCCGGAATTCTTTTTCGAGCAAGAAGACCAAAGAGATACCTCCGAGTTTTAAGCAATTCTTCACGGCGACTCTCTCATTGAAGTACTTAAATATATCTTCCTGCAAATTACCGTTGGAGGCATTAAAACACCTGTTACTCGGTCTGGCGTGCAACGAAAGTACAGTTGGCCTAGAGCTTGACATGAGCGGAAACAATTTGGGCTCTATGGGCGCTCATGTTTTGGAGTCATGTATTCACGGAGTTCGATGTATAGCGTCGCTGGATATATCGGATAGCAGTAAGCACAATTACTTATCAGTGATCGAAAGAGATTTGCAAAACCTTTTTGAGGCTCTCTATTTTAACAATCATCTACAATCTGAAATTAGAATTATAATTATCTAAAATTATAACTGATTGAAAGAAATATAAAGGTGATTTCGTTTATTCCGCTATTTATACTTTACACTTTCTGTTTCTTTTGCAGATATGGACGTCGATTTGGCGCAAGTTATAACGGCTGTCGGTAAAAACAAATCGATAAAACAGCTGTATATGGGTCGCAATACCGCCAGTATGAAGAGCAAGCACATAGCCGTCGTGATGGACGCTCTAGTGCAAATGCTCCAGGAGGACGACTGTGTTCTCCAAGCGTTGCACTTGCCCGACTCTCGATTGAAGGGTGATCTCTACAATTTGATCAACGCTCTCGGCAGCAACACGTGTCTTCATACTCTGGATATCAGTGGTAACCAAATAGGGGATCCTGGCGCGAGATTGATGGCGAAAGCGCTGCAGATCAATAATCATTTACGGACTATTATATATGATAAGAACAACATCACGCTGCAAGGTTACGCAGATATCGTTCACGCTCTAGAAAAGTACGTACACGTGCAAATTCGACATACGTATTCAAGTAAAGGAAGAATTTTAGCATGTGTAACAAATGTATTTTTGCAGGAATTGTAGTGTGCGGCATATGCCGTTCCCGATTTACGATCTGCAACCGTGCATGAAAACTTCAGCGGAGAAAACGGAGCAGTTAGCCAAGAGGATCCAGGATCTGCTGCAGAGAAACGTCACGCCGTGCAAGTACAGTCACGGGCAAGCGTTCAGGTTGCAGCAGGGATTCTTATTGAGCTCCACGCAGCAAATGGTCGACAGACTCGTCGTTCAGACTCAGGACACCATCAAGACACTCGCGGCGGAGAGTTGCGACGCCAATAACGACATTAATTACGCAACTGGGCTTATACAAGATGCGGATAATTCTAAACAGGTACAATAACATTCAAAGATTAGCTATTTTTAGGTTTTTTTCTAGAATTGTTTTTATGTTACGATTGAAAGTATATTTGAAGTTAACTAAAACCTTGTATTCTTCAGCTATTGCCAAGATTACACGAGGTGCTTCAAAGACGGGATGAGAACAATCCAGTTGAACTCAAGTTGCACGATATGGCGAGTGAAATTCATAAAGTCGTGACAGTATATTTACAGGTATATATTTTTTGATATATAAAATAGATATATCTGTATAAGAATCATGTAACACGAAATTGCAATGATTCGCAGGATTCTTTGGATGCAATGTTGAAGTGTGCGAATGAGCAATGCCCCACTATTCTTTCGCAAACAGTGATCAGAGGCGATGAGAGCGAACCGATCGCAATACAGGACGATCTCCGCAATACGTGCAAAGAGAGAAACCAAATCAACAATGAATTCATACACACCACCATTACTGAGCAAGCTGGCGCAGATATCATTAACAGAGTCAAGTGAGTGCTTCATCATAACGCTCAATGCTTAGTTTGTCGACGAGTCGCTTTTATAGACTAATATTTTTTCTTCTTAAATTAGTGAGCTTAACTTAGCGGTTGCGGCGCATATATCTGATAGAATTACGGATGAGGTAATCGAATCGTTGTCAAGAAGTTATAAGACTCTGGTGAGTTGGAAATTTTTTTATATACTATGTGTTATGAAAAACGTATCGTCGGTCTGAAAGAAACATTCATCAACTAACAGTTAGTAAATTAAAAAACTGATCAAAAGATTAAGTTTTTAAACTTTAATCAATACGATATATTCCTTAATTCACCGATTTACACGTCTTCACTTTGAGTAAAGTTTGAAATTTACACGCGAATTATTTATTATTACTTTTTCTTAAAATCAACTTTTATAAGAATGCAGCGCTGATGTAAGAAAATATTTTCAGATTGGTGATTGCGATAGCCGAACGAGAAGTAGTACGCCAGATGTCTTACGACCTAGTGCCGGCTCAATGAGTAGCGGAAGTGTAATAGGCGTGACTAGTGCGAGCGGGTTGACTCTACCTCCTGGTAGAGCCAGCCTCGTGTCCGAGGAGGACTGCCCGCCGGAAACATGTTCTCTGGTGAATTCCATTGGTCCATGTGTCAACGATCAATCACCAATGGTAAGAGTTTCGAGTCCGTTAACTTTTTAACAAGCAAATTTTGTATGAATTGTAGACTTTGAGTATATATTTTTCTATACAAACGCCCATCTGCTAATAAAATTGCTATTATTTTTGCTCGTTGATAATTAGTAGATGAGATGTTAATATATCATACATTGCTTCATAAGCAGCTAAATCATATATTATCTTCATTTACATGCTTACATAGAAATTGGATTATCTTAATCTGGTAGGTATTGTGCACTTCGGTAACAGAATATAATTCATTATCCTGTACAAACATTATGGAATGTAATATCTCGCTCTTGTTCTCATTTAGGCGACGCCACATTTGTCGAACAAGCGTAAAAGTCTGCACGGGAGAAAATTGAGACCTAAATCCGTGGTGGATTCGGTGGAGGGGCTGTCCGCCGACGATATTCCGGATCTCTTGCCATCATTGCCGAAAAGTCAGGCGGAAGGTTCGTATTAATTATCCCTCTTATAGATTCGTCACGTTACAACATGTGAATTGTTCCGCAGCTATTTCGGAAACCGAGCATTCGCTGACAGAGTCGTTAGACTCCGTCTCGGAGTTGCCCAATACCGTCGGCCAGCAGTTGCAACATCTGGTGAAGTCCAGGCCGCGCAGAACGAAAACAAGGGCTCCCACGAGACCGATGCTGAGACCGGATCAACCGATCGATGGTCTCGCCCTGGGCGAAGGCCTAGATGTATTTTTCCGACCTACTACACCGACTACACCACTGATTTCGCCTACAAGCGATGATAGGTAAGTGTGTGTATATAAGACCGCTCTTTTATATTTTTGTATAGATCACAAAATTCTTAATCTGTGTCCACCTTTTAATTTATACAGCTCTCTGCATACTTTTCCGACGGATGGCAGTCCTAATCTGTCACTGACGAGTCATAAGAGCATTCCACCCGACGTGGAGAAAAAGCACAGCTGCAACTCGCCGATGCTGAAGACGCTTTTGGAACCCACGCCACGTTCGCGGTCCAGCGATAATCTAGAAAAATTCTCCCCTCTTGTCGGCAGAAGATCTCAAGGCGATTCTCCGTTGACCGCGTCACCGCTCGCTCGGCGAAATACGACGGACAGTGCTCAAACCCACGAGAGATCCAAGAGCGAAACGAAGGAGAGTTGCAATAGCGCCGCTACAAATGACGCGAGCGATGATTCCAAGCGCAGCACGCTAACAAATCTATCCGCCATGAGTCCCCGTGGCTCGCGCGACATTGACGACTGTTTCGGAGCGAGCACGTCGGACAAGGATCAGGAGAATCGAAAAAATGTCATGAAGAAATCTACAACCGACACGGAGAAGTCGTCCGTCAAATTACGATCGACCGGTCACGAACTGAGAAGTCCTATAAACGGCAGCGGCGGCAGCGGCACCAAAAGTGCAACCGATTCGGCCAAGTCTCCCGTGTTAAAACCGTTGACGAAAAGTAGCGGATCTATGAACGACGGGAAAAGCAACGGCGCACTTATGAAAAACAAGCCCACCCCGCCGGCAACAGCGCCTAAACCGCGACCGTGGAGCATGGCCACCGATCGGAAATCTGGTAAGGCATTTTTGCACTCGATTCGTGATTTGAATTGTTAAAACCGAGACGCAGATTTGACTCTTTAATGGACAATTGATGGCGTATAATTAATTATAGAAAATTTGTGGAACACAAAATACATAAAGAAACATAATAATTAAGAACAATGAAACATATAAAGAATTTCCATATTTGATATAGAAAATTATCAGTATAATCCATTATTTATATAAGAATCAATCTAATACATTTCAAAGCAAAAAAAATATGATCTCGAGATAGATAAGAATCTTACTTGATCTTACTTGATTACTTTTGACCTTAATTCTACTTAACTGCTATTAATTAGAATTAATTATTATTTAATCTTACAGGAGAATTCAGTCTATTAAGCGACGGCTCTAGTCCGAACACTTCGGCCGGCAATACGCCCGATTCCGGTGACGCTCTCGACGAGTCGACCGACAGCGGCGTCAGTGGTCCGGCTTCCTTGCCGCCGACGTTATCGGCTAGCAGCACCGCGAGCTCGTTGAGCAACACGAGCGTCGAAAAGAGATCTGTAAGAGAATTAGCAGCGAGCTTGAACAAGAGCAAAGCAGACAGGAAGGAGAACGGTAAATACTGATTAATCAATAGGCTTGTTTGTAACGCATGGTTAATTTTTTAATGACAACGTACATTTGTGGATCCCATGCATTATCGGTACGCGCATCCTTACGCTCCTTAGTGTAGCGCTAAAACACGCATGTAAATCCTTCAATGTACATGCATCGCCTGTTACCTATTATTTTAGAACATACCGCACCTGCAGCATGGCGGTCGCTGCTTCAACGTTCTGTCGATCGAGCAGATGCCAAGGTATTTTATGTATATTTTTACTTATTTTTTCCCCTCCTTTGAATGCTCAGGAATCCTATTGTTGTAATAATCATTTTAACAACTGTTTATAACATTTATTTTTGCACCTTCTGAGATGGAAATGTAATTAATTTAATTAACGAGCAATAAGATAAATAATTGCACATTGTAATTATTGAGTAATTAGCGATTAATGAATAGAAATTAATTATATTTGTTATTATATTATTAATCACTAAAATAATCACAAACATAAATTACTGTTCAACACTAAACACTTTATATGCTTCTTAAAAATGTCGTATGTTATTTTATAATTATTCTCGCTTAACATATGCTGAATAATCAATTTTAACACATGACTTACACTTTGTTAGGATTACATATAACAAATAATGCTGACGTTGCAGGTAACGGAAGTACCGAAAATGGTTGAGGAGACTCGTCTCAGCTTTAAACTTCGTCGCACGTCATTTTTGCGCGATTCCAATTTCAATTACAACAACAACGACGTGGTTGACGTTTGATCGCGCGCTCGAACAGATGGTCGAACAGCGTTGCGCCAGGCGTCAGAAAAGAATGATCGTATCTTCCGTATGCTGATGCCGATGATCTGGCACACGAGGTAACAGTACTTTACGCGTCTTCGTGCCATAGGAAGTCTTTATTATGTATATAAATATATATATCGATACCGGTTTTAACATTAGAGACAGGGTACTGAAAGTTTTTACAGCAACTAAAAGTACTAATCTGTTGTTGAGGTGGCATTAGAGAGTCTTATACTAGTTTTATATGAGGTTGCGTTTTTTTTTACGCGCTATACTGTATTTCGACTTAGCCGCGTACTCACGTATTACCCACATATTTATTGTACCTCTTACGTAACTTACTAAAACCAATTGTTTTTAACCGCGCGTTGACTTTCCATTAAGATATCGATACTTCCAGTGAAACTAAGTCTCATTTCTCATTCCGTCGAATCTTCAGAGAGCAATGCGTTACTTTGTTACGTGAGGATATTAGCGAAAGTGTGTTCATTCTTTGTAAAAGATACGTTTTAATGTGTGTACATATTTTTATATATATATATATTGTTTGTCTATGCATTTTAACCGCGAGAATGTCTAGAATAGAGACAAGTCACATCACAGTTCTAGCCAGATAGATTAATCAGTTTCATCTTGGAGAGAATTTTATGGAGCAAAGACAGCTGAAATAGCATAACACGTTGTGTAAAAAGGCGTAGGTGTCTTCCAAGATCGTATAAGAAACTGCAATGATATTTCCTGCACGTGTGTTCTTTGCTGCAGTAGAATGTCCATTTTGACTTAAATATTTTGACTTTTTCGTCAAGCACATGCGGCACGTGTTTTTAATCTGTGATTAATTTGTAGAAATGTTTACGCGAGATTCAATCTAATCAAAGTTTCTCTCACAATAAATATTTTGCCATCTATCTAAAATAGGGGTCCCCAACTTACGGCTCGCAGGCCATATGCGGCCCCTGTAAAGGTTTTATCTGCCAAAAAATTTCAGCGTTATATGTGTATTAAATCAAATTTGTAGTTTCTTATTATAATTTACGATGCATTCTTTGCAAATTTCTTCTCTTCCTTCTTTTTAATTTCTTCTTTTCTCACTCATAAGTGTGTAGTTATGGCATGCTTAGTAACTTTGACGATATACAGAATGCTCCTTCGGCCTTCGGTTCATTATTAAAATTTTCGGCCCTCTGGTAAAAAAGTTGGGATCCCTAATCTAAAAAAATTTAACAGATGAATCTTCCTGCTTGGTAAATCCTCCGTGATAGCTTCATCGTATTATCAGTATAATAATTTAAAAGTTTAACGCTAATCTCAATCTATTACTACTACGACTTTTTTTACAGGAATTGATGATGTAAAATAAGAAGCAGATAGATTAATTTGATTTTATTGAAGTATTTATGTCCATTTTATATTCTTTTATTGTTAAGTAGTTTCTAATTAAATTTCTCAACTTTTAATAATCGTGATATTGCTTGATTTTTTTCTTTCGTTAAATCTCTCTCTTAAATATAGAACTTGAATTTCTATACGCAAGTACCATCGTGTTTTTAATATTGTTAATAGAAGATATAGAATTCTAGATACATCTCGTCGTTCAATTGAATAAGACTAACAACGCAAAATTATTTATTAAGATCTCCTTCGTGCTGCGAATTTTCGAAGAACATTTTTTGTAATAAGAAAAACGGATATCCTTTATAGTGCGGACGTTAAATCAGTATATAATCTCGTATCGAAGATGCATTTGTCTTTTATATAGCGACAAACGCGTGTACATATATATGTAAAAAAAAAAAAAGAAAACTCATGTATAGGTGATTAAAGTAGCTCGTAGGAGATTTGCGATTCTTATTATCTCGAAGAGAAGCAACGTGAGAAATGTCTTGTGAATTTTTTACCGTTTTAGCTATTATCACGTAATATCGATATATCGGTCCCTCATACGAAGATACATGAGACACGTGATCGTTGCATTTTATCATGATATTATTCAACAGAGAGCATTCTTCCTCTAACGTTAAGCGAAACGAGTATTAAAGCATCGTGTTAATAAAATTTGTGTGCGTGTTTTGGGTGTGTATGCGCGCGCGCACATGTGCCGCAAGACAATTGTATTAATTAAGCAGCGTAAAAAACGACTTGTTCAGTATTCAACAATTATGCGAGATGCGTGAGACAGCCATATACACATATACATTGTACGGATTCTAAGTCTTTAAGAAACTTATAAGAGTCTTTAAACAGCCGTTGGCCCTAAAAAAGGAAAAAAGCATACCTCTCTTATAATATTATATATAAATCACGTAAAAGGACGCGTTTTCGCTGAACTTGTATGGTCTACTAGATAAACGTAAGGAAGTTTGTATTAACACTTAATCGATTTGACTCGAGAAATAGCTACTTACATGTATAAGAGCGTCTTACGATATTACTTTTAGGCACGAGAGTTTTTCTGATGACTTATTGGACTTTTCTTAGGGCAGAATAATATTCCTAATAATGCAGTCTCGTGTACTCGACTAAAAACTTACACATATACACACATCTACCGCGTACAGGTGATTTTTTATATGCGATATACTCGATGCGCGATATATTTATTGTTAAGGAAGCGAATACGTATTCGGAATTTATCGCGCGTATAAAACGACTCTGCCGATTATTGTGCCAAACATATATGCAACAAATTACGCACATTTTTTATACAATGAAAGAAA